AGTTTTGGGTCCCTGGGCTTTAGTGCGGCTGCTGCTGCTGCTAAGTCGCCCCAGTCATGTCCGACTCTGTGTGACCCCATAGACGGCAGCCCACCAGGCTCCTCTGTCCCTGGGATTCTCCAGGCAAGAACACTGGAGTGGGCTGCCATTTCCTTCTCCAAGGGCTTTAGTGCACAGACACAATAGTTGTGGCACATGTGTCTAGCTGCTTTGGAGCATGTGGCATCTTCCTGTACTAGGGATTGAACCAGTGTCTCCTGTGTTGACAGGCAGATTCTTTACCACTGAGCCACCAGGGAAACCCTAGACTCAATTATTGATTGATGGATGGGTTATTTAGCTGAATATTAGAAAATAGTTTACATGAAATATGAATAAAAATTTAGTTAACTTTTGTCTCTGAAGGTTATCCTAGAAAAAGAAACTGATCACCCAGTTTAAAAATTGTTATTTTCATGAAATTGACATTATACAATACTGTTTTTATCACTCAATTCTCTGAGTATTAATAAGTAAAGCAAACTAAGACTCTATCCTTGAAAGTTATTTGTGTTTAACCTGGCTAGAGAAATCAACCTGATTATTCAATTTTCTAATTTTCTTCTGTCCCACTTATTTCAACTGGTATATTTTGTACTTTATGTTGTACCCTTTATTTTCTTCTTAACACTTTTCCCCTTTATTTCCTTGTTAACTATATTTATTTATTTTTGCTGTCAATGTGATTGGATCATATCCAGTATGTCAAGTAAAATGTATTCAGTGCTTGTATCAGTCTTGGTCCAGTCAACAACAGAAATCGCACAGTGGGTTAAGCTTAATATCAAGAATTATTAAGCTCTGATTAAAGAAGGACTAGAAGGACACTACGTATGGTATTCTAGGACTGAGGGAGACTACCCAAGGGAGGACAAACCTGGAAAGGTTCCCCTCCGCAAGGTTGACTCAGTCTTACTGGAGAAGGTGTAGTTCAGCCCACTGGATGGCAGAGAGGCTTGCTGGTTTGTTCTGGCCACAGCTGTTCTGAAGCCTACTGTGGAGTGCAGTGCTCAGCAACCTGAGGGGTGTTTGCAGAGGGGGTGGGAGCCAAGGCTCAGGGTGCTGTGAGGGGGTGAGGTAAGGGGTCACCTGCAAAAGGAGTGGTGACTCGGGGCTCCGTGGTGGGCGGAAGACCTTAGGTCGGTTTCTGTGGTGAGAGGGCTGCTCTGCAAGTTTCTCTCCAGGCCAGGCAAAGGCTGCAAGGTGGCTGACCCACTATACAGCGGCAGGAAATACCTGGAGAGCGGCTTGCTTCCTCCAATGCCTCTTCAGTGCCCTCTGCCGAGAAAACTTAACATCTCTGTGGAGATGCTTCAAGTTCTGTCCTCCGTCACAGAGCATATACTGAAGGGTGAATGGGAGCTGAGGGGCAATGTATTGATAATAGGCAAAGTGTTTACCAGAGTCTAGATGTATTTGTCAAAGATAAATGTATTTAGGAAGCTATATTGATACACTGGCAAAACGAATCCGTATCAGGAAGACATGTCAGTAATGGACAAATACAATTAAACAACAATTTTTTTTTCGCTTTTTAAAAATTTTTTATTTTTATTTTTTTTATTGGTTGGAGGCTAATTACTTTACAATATTGTAGTGGGTTTTGTCATACATTGACATGAATCAGCCATGGATTTACATGTGTTCCCCATCCCGATCCCCCCTCCCACCTCCCTCTCCGCCCGATCCCTCTGGGTCTTCCCAGTGCACCAGGCCCGAGCACTTGTCTCATGCATCCAACCTGGGCTGGTGATCTGTTTCACCCTAGATAATATACATGCAATTGAACAACAATTTTAAAAATGACTGGACAATAGGGGTATTCAGATATCCTATTTTTTCTAATTTTATTTTAGTATTCTTTAAAAAATTGAGGTGTGTCATACATATAGTAAATTGCACAAATCATAAATGTATACTATTTTGAGTTTTAACATATGTATACACAAGTAAAACTACTACCCAGATTAAGATAGAATTTTCCCACCACTCAGGAGGATACCTTATTCCTCCTCCCAGTTAAAATTCTCTCCCCCCTACCGGAAGTAGGCACTAATGTGGCCTCCGTTACTTGTTCAGGAACTTCATGAAACTGGATTCACAAGTCATCTGTTGTGTCTGGCCTCTTTTGTTCAAAATGATGTCATTGAGATTCACTCATCTTGCTTCATATATCAGTATTTCTTTTGGCATAGCGTTCTATTATGTGAATATACCACAATTTATTTTTCTATCCTGTTGATAGACATGCGGGTTGTTCCTAGTTTTTGACTATTATGAGTAAAGCTGCTATAAAAAGAGTTTTTGTGAAGCTGTGCACTCAGGTCTTTCAGGTATATATTCAGAAGTGGAATTACTTGGTCCTTGGAACATGCTTTGGTAGTGAGCCATGTTTAGCTTTAATAGATACTGCCAAACATTTTTCTAAAGTGTTTGAACCAATTTCCACTCCTACCAAAACATATGAGAGTTCCAATTGCTCCATATTGTTGCCAGTAGTTGGCCAATCTTTTTTTTTTTAGCTATTCTTGAGGGTAGTATTTTTAATAATTAAGATTAATTAGAACTATACAATTATATTTATCAATTTTTATAATCTTAACTATATAATATTTATCATCTTCATATATTTCTCATGTTTCCCTTTGATAAATAGAAAGAACTTGTTTCCTTCAAATGTTATCTGAAATTTCAAAGTGAAAATAGCAGAAATGGTACCTTTTGAAATGTGCTCTCAGTTTACATATACTTCCACATTATAATTGGAGAAGGCAATGGCACCCCACTCCAGTACTCTTGCCTGGAAAATCCCATGGACGGAGGAGCCTGGTGGGCTGCAGTCCAAGGGGTCGCTAAGAGTCGGACACGACTGAGCGACTTCACTTTCACTTTTCACTTTCATGCACTGGAGAAGGAAATGGCGACCCACTCCAGTGTTCTTGCCTGGAGAGTCCCAGGGACCGGGGAGCCTCGTGGGCTGCCGTCTATGGGGTCGCACAGAGTCGGACACGACTGAAGCGACTTAGCAGCAGCAGCCACATTATAATATCCATCAGCTCTCCACTAAGCTTTTCGAGAATACTATAATAAATGCTTGCTCATTCACATAGCATATAACATTCTTTTTGACTCCACAGTAGCTATTATGATTATCAATTATTATTGTAAACTATGGCAAGGGAAAAACTCTGAACATGTGAGTCTTTTGCCTGATCGGGGCCTCTGAACATAACTGGAATTTGTATGTAAGCATTACTTTTTCACAGTAATCAAGCGGTATGGTGTGTTTAAGAGTAAAGTACATGAGTCACAGCTCAGCTGCAGTCCTGGCTCTGCTAGGGTGTCTAATAAGGAAGTTTCCTGTGTCTTTATTTCCTCATTTACAAACGGAGTGGAAAACACCACCAGGCTACGTCAAGGGCAGGGAACTTAACCTCTCTATCCCTCAGTGTTCTCAGCTGTGAAATGGGGCTAACAATAGGATTATTGAGTATCACGTTGTTAAAATACATATATATGTAAAACACTTTGCATAGTGCCGGCAACTTAATAAATGCTATGCTAATATTTAGGTATTTATCAACTAAACTGAAGAGTTGTAAAGGGCCGTGTAGTCCCAAACAGCAACTAATATATTTCTCAATCCCAGACAGACTCCTGAATTTTTAAAATTTCTCCCACTCTTCTCTTTATTATTGAAAACAGCGAAGTCAGAAGAATCAGGACCAGCCCTGGCTCTCAACTACTTTTCCTTTTGTTGTGAAAGGAAAAAGATACTTCAGAAACAGTCTATTATGAACTATACAGGACTCTGATAGCAATGCCGTTGGATTCATCTTCTGCGTCCCTTGAGTAACTCAGAAGAGCGTTTTCCCCACTCCAGCCGCTTTACCGCGACACTCCCGCGGCTTCCCCTCCCTCTTCCCCGACCTCAAAGCATGTTTCTCGTAAATGCCTTTTCCCATCTGCGAGAAAAGTCCCCGCGCACCAAAGGCAGTGGGCAGTCAATTACGACCACTGGTACAGACTCCAGTTAGGTCCAGGGAAGTTGGGAGGAAAAAGCAGCAACCTTCGGCGTCCTGAACACCTCAGGGCCAGCCAGCCCTCTTCCCCATCTAGTTCGCTCCCTCTGCGCCCCGCCCGCCCGCCCGCCCGCCCGCCCGCCCGCCCGAAGTGAAAGTAAAAGTCGCTCAGTTGTGTCCGACTTTTTGCGACCGCATGGACTTATACAGTCCACGGAATTCTCTAGGCCAGAATACTGGAGTGGGTTGCCTTTCCCTTCCCCAGAGGCTCTTCCCAACCCAGGGATCGAACCCAGGTCCTCCCATATTGCGGGCGGATTCTTTACCAGCTGAGCCACAAGGGAAGCCCGAACCCCAGGGCATATCGGGAACCGTAGTTTCCGAAGGCCCGGTTCAGTTGGCGCATGCGTTCCGAGGACTTGCCAGCACACAGAAAAGGTCCCGGATGAGGAAGTGGCCGGTGATGCCACGCGTTCTGCGATCTGTGGGCCTGGACTTCTGGGTATTGTAGTCGCTGGAGGCGGGCGCCGTCGGTAAGGAGACGTAGCTTTCCTTGGGGCTTGCTACTGCAGTTCCTTCCCGGAGGGATACGCCGGGTCAGTCGGTTGTTCTCTCATCACCGCGCTACTCCGAGGCCAGGAGGCGCTTTCCTTTTACCTCGACTCTCTTTCTCCGTGGCTGTATGCGCCGTGCTCTGCAGTCCATTTCTCTGCCAAGCTCTCTCCCTTTCCTTAGCCATCTCCAAAGCCTGGGCGTAGCGGGGACTCGCACTCTGGGAGAGACAGGGCCGCGACCTTTTCAAATCCGGCCCGCGCCCGGCGGAGACTCGTCTCATTCCAGGCTCGCCTCGGTTTCCCTCACTGTCCTTTTCCCCAGACTCCTCGGCACCACAGCGCTCACGCTCCTTCCACCCCCCCTTTTTTTTTCTCCTCTGCAGGGATGGAAGCTTCCTGGCGCCAGGTGGCCGGTGGTCGAGGCCGAGCCCGAGGACGAGCCACTGCGACCCCCTCCTCAGGAAATGGAGTCCATCTCCGCGGCGCCGGAGGAGGGCGGGAGAAGGGGTCGGTATGCGCTGCTGGCCCTGGCCTCAGCCTCGGAGGAGCGGCCGCCCCTGCGGCTGCAGGTACCTCAGCGCGGTGTAGCCCCGCGGGCTCGGAAGCGCCGCAGACTTCCGTGGCCGGTGGTGAGAATGGCTTCTGTTCTCGGGCTCACTTGGATGCCCACCGCCTAAGGCGCTGCCTAGTCCGAGCTGCCTCCGCGTTCACTTCTTTCCTTCTCCTTCGGGAGTTTATAATTGGCCTCACTTCTCAAGGCTTCCAGGCAGCTGCTCATTCTAGGCCGATTCCCATCACACCTTATTCATCATCAGTTTAATTGATACTAATCTTCGTTATTTCTCCGTCCAGTAGTCTTCCCATCACTCATGTCTATTGAATGCTGAAGGTTGCAAATCGTAGCCCAGCGGTCTGATGTAGCGTATCGTTTGGTTAACACAATGCGTTAAATCTGAATTGATTAACGGCAGTTTTTTGGTTTTTCTTTTTAAAATTTCATAAAAATCTTGTTAGCAACTTTTCTTCTAAAACACCGCGGCTTTGGGACTTTTATGCGTGGCAACAGTCGGCTGGGCCGAGTTACAGAAATCCCTTTCAGATTGGATTTAGGTTTTCCGCTTCGCATTTTGTTTCCTACTTCTGGGGCTGGTTGTCATTTTCCATCTTTGTTTGATTGCTTAGTTTAGTGACTTTAATTATCTATGTCCTATACGCACTTGAGTTTGTGGTAGTTTTCTACTGTGGTCACAAATTCCTAGTCACAAATTTCATGTCCTTTCCTGGATGTATCTGGTGTGGCCTTCTCCAGCTTATCAATATCCTTCACCCAAGGCAATGGACAGGAGTTGGAGCTAACTCTCAGAGATAGTGAAGGACAGGGAAGCCTGGCTTGCTGCAGTTCATGCGGTCGCAAAGAGCTTAGTGACTGAACAACAAAGCAGTGTTTTGGTGGAGTCTTAAGTGCACACATGCAGCTTTCACTTGTCCACAGTGAAAGAGTGCAGGGGTGTAAAGGAATAATCCCAGAAGTCATTTTATTGTTGTCTTTTTCAAAATATATTTTTTTTGAGTGGAGGAGCAAATTGAGCTTCTGAATGTTTCACCCCTCAGCTAATTTTAAAGTTAGGTGATATTCTGAGTTTATGACAGTGGTGAGTTACTGAGTATAATATTGGCGGTAGTGAGGTATGCAAGAGGGAGACGTGTGAACAGTTTTGGTAAACTTCCTTGGATTTTGTGGATAGAGAAAAGCATCCTTCAACTGGATAATTGAGATTTGGCTGTAAGAAATAATATATGGGAAGGTTGCTTTGTCAGCTGTCTTTTAGATGATCTGATCTGGGTCTGTTGATCAGGTTATGAGTGTTTTTATTATATCTGCTTCAACCTTTAAAAAAATTTTGAGTCATATATCTTACATCAATTAGTTTTCTGCTAGCACTCAAAGATTCCTATGTAAGCTCTGTACATCTTCCTCCAGTTTTACTTGAAACTCCCAGTAGTTCCCAGCCAAGCCAGCTGCAATAAGAAAAGGAAAGCATTCCATGAGGAAAATAAAGATCATTAAATACAAATACGCCACCTAAAATAGGAAAGTTTGTATGAGTAGTGACTCATCAGTTTCAAGCGTAAAGTGCATTTCTTAGTGCACTGATGAATTAAGGCACTAATGAGTTAAGATCAATTCACTATGTTTGTGGCTCCCTTCTTGAACTGTGGTTGCTGTCCAGAGAGTTTATTAATAATGCTTGAAGAGAATTCTGATAGCCCTTGCCCTTGAGGAGTTTGAAGTCGCATTGGGAATGTGCTATGAGGTAGTCTAATTCTTTTTTGCAGTATTTAAGCAAGTAACAAAGTCAGAAGTACAGACAGTGCTAAACAGAATAACAGAACTAATTCAAAACTTATTTAGCCTTTCTTTTTGGAATGAAGTTGTGAGAAGCACATTTTCCATGTTAGCAGTATTTTGTGTGGGATTCCTGTGCTTAGTCACTCAGTCGTGTCTGACTCTTTGCGACCCCATGGACTGTAGCTCACTAGGCTCCTTGGGCCATGGGGAGTCTCCAGGCAAGAATACTGGAATGGGTTACCATGCCCTCTTCCGGGGAATCTTCTTGCAGCCCAGGGATCAAACCCAGGTCTCCCGCATTGCAGGTGGATTCTTTACTGTCTGAGCCATGGTCAGTTACTTCTTGTGTGGGATTAATGTTCAGTAAATGTGTTTTGTGACCCCATGCTAGTAAAGATAAAAAAGTTCTTGCGCTTTCTAAGCAGCAGTTTGTAAACATAGTGGGTATACAGTGAATATTGCTTGTGCTGTCTTTGGTGGGCCAGGCCATGTTGGGTTTGTAGTATGGAAGAAGATGTGAAAAAGCACCTGGCTAGGCTGATTCTGATGTGCTCCCAGTGGGTATGTTTCCCACCTCTTAAGAATCACTGTGTGCCATTCATTTAAATTCTTTTTATTATTGGAGTTTAATTGCTTGGCATTGTTGTGTCAGTTTCTGCTGTAGAACAAGGGGAATCAGCTATGTGTGTCCCTTCCCTCTTGGGCCTTCCTACCATTTGTTTTTAAACATCTCTAATTTTGTTAATGTCCTTGTCTTGAGGTTGATCACCAGTTTTTTGATACTTTAACGTGCGTTTATAATTTAAAACATTGATTTCTTAGTCACTCTAGAGCAGTTTGTTGCATTTAGCAGAATATTTAACAAAAGTGAAAGTTTATATTGTGGTATTCTCTTTACCTATATGACAAGAAATTTGAAAATACTTTTTTTCATAGATGACAGTAAAATAGAATGCCTCAAAGGTGACTTTTAAATTTGTATTTTAATAATGTGTTGGTATATCATGTCTTGCTTTTTGCGAGATTGTTTTGCAGAAATGAAAAACATTTTTTTTTTCTATTAAGCAGAGCTAATGTCTCAAAAGAAATTTGAGGAAATCAAGAAGGCTAATCAGGCTGCAGCCAAAAGAATTGTTGAAGAACACTTTAGCTCTTCATCTGAAGAAGAAGGGGATGAAGATTTTGAAGGAAAAAGAGGGAAAATAGTTGCGAATACATTTATAACTTATACTACTCAGACAGGTACTGTATGATCTTTTAAATTTTGATATTTTTACATCAAATGAAAAATATATTCCTGACTTTTTCTAACACCTTTACTTGTTGTGGGATACTTCTTGTTTGTTAAGAATGAACATTCTTGTGCTGTGGAGTTGAATTTTTACATCTTTTACTATTTGAATTATGTGTTTTATCACACTAATAGGGTGGCAATGTCTTTTATAGCCTTAGAAGTTCTCTTTGGTGTTTAATTGGCGTCTCCTTAGTATGCCTGGGTGATAGGGGTGGGGGCTCTTCCCTGAGAGAGGAATTGGGTTCAGTTGTTCCTGATGATGGTTTGATTGCACTTGAAGACTTTGAATACTCCTTTAAATTGATTCTTGATTTTTCTCTTTTTCATTATGTTAAATGTATCTTGGAGTCAGTTTCTTTTCTTTTTTTTTGGAGTCAGTTTCATTTCTTGACTTTATTCGTTTATTTTATATCTTACAACTTCTGATCTTTATGCTTTAAAAAGAATCTTAGTCTCCTCAGGTTTGGTGTGTACAGTCACATTGTATGTTGTATATATCTGGGTTACTTAGCCACATTTGTTTATGAGAGCAAGGGGCAAAGTGATGTTGCTGTGAAGATTTGGTACTAAGTGTAGAAACAGATTATTTTCAGTGAAGTGCTTTTACACGTTCCACATTTTATGCTTACAGTCATTGCTGGAAGCATTCTTGTTTGTATTATCCACATTAGCTGCTGAGTTTATTGATAGCATCATTAACCTGGGTACACATCATCAAAATAGTTTCCAAGGAATTTACCATATCTGGCAAGGAATTAAGATTAGGAAGCTGGACTAAGAAGTCTGGCTCAGTCAGGTAAAAGTTGGTAAAGAGGAACCTTGAGGTTTCTTGCTTTTAAAGGACTTCATAGAAAGTAACTTCAGGTTTCCTTCAAAAAGACCTCACTTAAACCATTCTAGGTACAGGTGTTATTTTTAAATAGGAAATCCAGTGATAGAACTGAGTATTTCTGTCTAGTGTTTAGAAAACTTTTATCATTTATGAGTTTTGTTCATTTTTAACCTGGCTTTCATCTCAAAGTGTTAAGGCAATTTTTCTTATGCTGTATTGTGTCAAATCCATAAGTATTTTGATACCCATTCCATTGTGTTCTGTACTTTGCCTCTACCAAAGAAAGGAAACTTGACTAGTACAGTAAATGCCAGAGTCATGAGATGGTTCCCATCTCACGTTAGTGAATTGAACACCAGAACTTAACCGAAGAAGTTCCATTTTTTCTGCCTGAGCACAGCCTTTATACTTCCATGTCAAGTTTCAGACTTTAATGGTCAGCTTCCTGTTGGGTATTGCTGTCTTGCTGGCCTATGGAAACATAAACATGTGTTGAAAGATAACTTATGTATTGTCTTATTTTCTTTATATTAATTAGTAGCGCCACAGTTTTCCCAGTCACCCTCCTAAGGCAGAAATCTGGGAGCAGGGTTGGCATATACATGACATGAGTATATTTTATTTGCTCCCACTCCTCCCCTCTGCCCATGTCAGACAGCTCTTCAGACACAGCAGTCTTTCCTTCTGAATCTTGGCATGAACATTGACTTTTCAAAGCAACACAATCTCATTGTCACCAAGTCCTGCTCAGTTTTACTTCCTAAATTTCTTAAATTCACCCATTTCCCCATACTGTCATCACCTTAATTCAGGCCCCTACAGCTGTTTAATAGGTTTAATAGCTATTAAATAGCTATTAAATAATAGCTATTTAAATCCACATAATAGCTCTGTGGGGTAGATATTATTATTACTACTATTTTAAAGATGAGAAAGCTGAGATGGACACATTGACTTACTAAAGGTCATTTTTTGCTTCATCTGCTGTAACGTACCTCCTCTCTGGTACTTCATGTTTCCAGTCTTGGCCTCCTCACAGTCATTTTTCTTCAGTTGCCAGAGTGATCTTGTTGAAATGCACGACTTCAAATGCCGTCCTTTTCACCATGGGCAGCATACTGTGCTGCTGCAGCCACGCTTTAACACAGGTTTCAAAGAAGTCTTACATGAGTTTTGTAAATGTAAGATTAGACTTTATCAAAGTCTGTTTATCTTGTTTTTGTCCTCTATGTTACATGGTAGCTGTTAACTTAGATGAAATTTTGAAATGCTCTGCCCTTGTTAGAGCCAGCTATGTCAAAGGGCACACTAAATACATAGAGTGTGGCCGTGCAAGCTGCCTCAAGGGCTCTCTGCAAACCTTGATGCTCGTTCAAAGCAACTGTCTTTAGTAAGTTCATAGTATTTTATAGTGTTGGGAGTGAGTTTATGTATATTTTCTTTAATAACCTAAATTACACTTGTGTTTATAGTATGGTAGAACAAGATTTTGTGACTTTTGTGTTTACTTAGATGGTCTTAGAAAGTAAAGAATCATCCAAGTGTCCTTTTTATTTTTCTTTTTGATGACATAAATTTTGGCTTGTACAATTTTATTGCCGTGTTCTGTACTTATGATAGTTTATGCTAGTAGTGTACTTTTCTTGGAGACTTGGTCAACCTCTATTGAATAATCTTTATTATACTGAAGGCCTGTAGGTTTATTTTTCTTACACTAAAGTGACTCAGATTATTGTCCTTTTGGTGTCATGTGAGCTTTGGGGTTGTTTCTCTGCCTTTCATTGTGCTGTTATTTCTTGGACCTTCCTGTATTAAACCCTTGCTGCAGCATAGCATAGTGGTCAAGAGGGCTCACTTTGGAGCCATACCGAAGCTACTTAAATGTTATGTGCTTCAGTTTTCTCATCTGTAAAATGTAATTAAAAACATCTTATTTAATCTTACTGAAATACGAATAGTGCAGTGTCTACCAAGTAAATGCATAATGATTGCTTAAAGAAAATTCGGTATAGTAATTTTTTTTCTAAGTCATGCTTCCTTTTTAAGCAGAAATAGCATAATTTAACGAAACAAGGTTATTGTACTGTATTGATCTTTTCATTCAACAGATTTTTACTAAGAACATGCTTTGTCAGACAGACTCATACACACAGACTCTTATGCACTTACACATTGATGGACATATATTTAGGCTCAATGGCTCTGCTGAGCTTCTACTTTTCAGTTCCTTTCACCTTGCTTTTTGGTATGCTTTCTCATATTGCTTGACATCTTGCTGCCTTTGCCTGAGGCAGTCGCCCCCACCCGATGTGTTAAGGACTGGAACAGCCGGTAAACTCTGAGAGAAGGTCAAGATAGAAGGCATGGACTTTGTGGCCTCTTTTCAGGTCACTGGTTGCTTTTTTTGTTTAGCTTCTCCTTTTTTTAGCTGTAGTTTGAACAATTGATAATACTAGAGAGTTCTCACATACTGTGGTGCTGTTGGTGACTTTGTGTTATTTTCAGATGTTGCTTAACCTTAAGTTTTCAATTTTTAAATTTCAAGATGGAGATGTACGAGAATTAGAGAGAACGAAACAGTACGTCAATGAAGCTTTTCAAGCTGGGGCTATGACATGCTTAATTTGTATTGGTTCAGTGAAGAGAAACCATGCAGTAAGTTTTTGTCCTTATCTAAAATAATGTTATCTCCCTCAGATACCTTATTTTGCATGTATAATTTGCAGTCCTTTATTTTTGCTTACTTTTGTTCAAAAATGTTTCATTTGAGAATTCTATTTATAAATTGATACTCAGTTTTGGGGAATCTGTGATTAAAAGAAAAATACCTCTAAATGAGCAATGAATATTTTCAGCACTATGAATAAAACTGAAGCAAATATTTTCAGTTTCAATGCATATGTCATGTTGAGAAAGCATTTTTAGCATCAGTACGTTATAGAGATTCACACAAGTACTGAAATGTTAAATAAACTATATTTCATTACTTTCACTAGGTTTTAAAAAATATAACTATGTTCCCTGCCTTCAAGGAAGTAAAACCTAGCAGTGACATTTATGGTTTATTAGTGAGCTTCTCTTGTGTTGAAGGTGCTTCTGGAAAGTGGCTAGGGTTAATGGGGAGAGATGGATTCAGGAATAACTTATGTACTTAGAGATTCTGTGGCCTAATGGTGAAGTTATATATATGTAAATTTAAAGAGCATTAATAAAGCAGTAAAGGGGAAGTGATGACTCAGTGTGATAGACTCACCATTTAGACCTCAAGCTAATCCTCCACTGTTGTAGCACGCCGAGAAGGGCAGTCAGGTCAGGTGTGAAATGGATGGGTCTTGTAGAATGCACCGTAAATTTAAGCTGTATCAGGTAAGGTAACACAGTGCCTTTGGTGCTTCTGGTTGGCTTACTCTGAATTCAGCTGCAGTGGAGGAATAGTCTCTGCATTAAACACTTGCTGTCTGTGGATTTTTTTTCCAGCCTCACTGCTTTCTCGTTGGGAACTAACTCAGCAGGAAATGGGTGTAGTACAGAAGTAGGGCAGAGCTAATGCCCACTGGGGCAACATTCCACCATAGGGAGTTGCGGGATGAGTGCCCCAGCTTCCTCTTTGCTAGTGGTTGGGGCTGGAGTTGTCCTCGGCGTGTTTTATGTGGTTCTTCAGAGCATTCCTAACAGGACTGAACTTTGGCCCTTAGTGGTAATCAGCTGAGTAATATGCAGTTTATTTGCATTTCCTTTTCCCTCTCTTGACCTTTTACTTCTATATCCCAGTTCTTTTCTTAGGCACTGCTGTTTTTGGGGGAACTCAAACTAAGAAGTTGGCTTTTTTTCAGTGCTTCTGCTGGCTTATGATATTTATATATATATTTTCAAGTTTTTGCTCACCCAAGTTTTAGAATTTAGTGTTAATTGCAAGACTAATAGATTTTTTATCACAATGGGACAACAGAGATTATATGTACATACTTGTGTTTAAGGATTCCTTTTGTGGTGTTATTTACAATTAGAAAAACCTAAATGTACAACAACCTGAAATTTGTTAATTTATGGTATATAAATCAATGTGATACCTGCTATATAGCTATAAATATCATGTTGTATGAACATATTTGATAAGGGTAAATGCTTATACTAGGTTAAAAGGCTGTAGTTACTTATCAGTAAGTGCAGTATGACCTCATTTTTTAAAAAGTATGAAATATATACAAAAATATTAGAGATTTTTCAGAATGTTAGCAGTAGTTTCTAGCTGAATGAATCTGGATGGTTAATATTATTTTTCTTTAAATTGTTCTACATGTAAATTAATTTTTTTAAAGAACATTTCTTCTGTTATGCTAGAGGAAGGTTTTTTTTCTGTAATTAGCTCTTGAAAATGGTACTTATTTTAAAGTATTGTGGAATTATCAAAGAAAAATCATTTTGTGTGTGTTAATCTCTGACACCTTTGTCTTAGGTTTGGAGTTGTTCAGGGTGTTTCTGCGTATTTCACACGCCCTGTATCCAGAAGTGGGCTAAAGACAGCCAGTTTCTGGTGTCTTCTCTGACGGATGAGGATTTTGGAAAGAGAGATTATCCCTGGCCTTGGTAACTTTCTCTAATGCAGTTGGAGTGTTGAGTAGTAAAATAAGTGAAATTTGTAGCTTCGAAGGTGCTTTATTGGCAATTTCATTACCCATGCTTGCCTTCAAGTAGTCATGTGGTTTGTGAAGATATGAGACCTACTAATGGCTCCCCCCTCCTCGTTGCCCCAGCTTGTCTAACTGCTAGTTGCTTTTGGTAACTAATAAATCATTCAGATTCTACCCCACCCCCCACCCCCCCACCACCTCACAAAGCAACTCCTTAGTTATCTTTTTAAAGAACTTTTAATTTCTTTTCAGCTAGAATCCATTGAAATTCTGCAGCTTCTCTCAGGAGCTCCTGTTTGTATATTTTAGTATCACGTTGTACATGACGGTCATCTAACATTTTGATCATTGGCTTCCTAGTTTTATCCTCGAAATCTATCAAAGCTTCAGGTTATCCAGTCTTATTAAATTTTCTACATTTATTATTTTAGTTTGGCTTCTAGGACCAAAACTGCTTTATTTTAGTCTTGCTGGGTAAAAATGTTTTAGCAGAGAACGTGAAACAGTATTTGAACTTTTCTATGACTTAGGCGTATTTGAAATATGTATATTTTTGTATTCGATGTTAAATATGAATATTTTTTATTTCAAATATTTTTCCCTTCTAGATTTTAAGTCATGTTTCTTGCTGCTATATTACCTACCTACAACCTGATTTCTCTCTTCTGTTTGCTATTGCTAATATATTTTGCGTATTTGTAGACCACCCAACCAAACTTTTAAAATAGTGAGCCTTATAATATTGGAATGCATATCTCAAGAATAAAGTTCAGGTGGTTAGTAGAAAGCTAATGTTGCTTTCTTGTGTAGCTGTATTTTAGATATGTGGTGTTTAATACAGTAGCAACTGGCCACATGCAGTTGTTTATACTCTTAAAAATTTTGAAATAAAAAATTGTTTCTTTCTCAGTTGTGTGTATTAGCCACATTTCAAGTGCTCACTAGCCATATGTGGCTAACGGCTATTGTGTTGGACATGACAGGTATAGAACACTTCCATTGTCTCAGGAAATTATTGGACAGAGTTTTTCTAGATGGTTGAAGTTGATTTCAGTAAAATCTTGTTTCTTATTAATATAGAGATGGAGCAAAGGTTACATTAACTGATTGTTTATACTCCATTGTTAAGTATATTTATATCCCTGTCTCATGTCACTTTTATAAATGAAATTAACTTCAGGAATTTCATTCTTTGTAGTCCCAAATGTAGGTTTGAATACAAACGATCTGACACACCTAGTAGGTACTATTGCTATTGTGGAAAAGTGGAAGATCCACCTTTAGATCCGTGGCTTGTGCCTCATTCATGTGGCCAAGTGTGTGAGAGAGATTTTAAACCTTCTTGTGGCCACAAATGTTTACTCCTCTGCCATCCGGGTGAGTTATATATTATATTTCTTGTTGTTTGTGGGTAGTTATTTCTTCTTACATTGAAGCAAAAAAAATCATTGTGAAAGTTAACTCAGAACTTAAGTGTACATAAGAAAATATTTGAAGGGATTGCCTTTTAAAGTATCAGGTAAGTGTTAGGAATTATTGATAGGTGTAGGAACTGAAAATTTTAATTTTTGACTTCTGATGTTTTTTTCCTTTCATTGGTTTCTAGGTCCTTGCCCACCTTGTCCCAAAATGGTCACAACTACTTGTTATTGTAAGAAAGCAAAACCTGTCCCTCGCCGGTGCAGTGCTAAGGAATGGTCCTGTCAGCTGCCATGTGGGCGGAAATTGCTTTGTGGACAACATAAATGTGAAAATCCCTGTCACGCAGGTAAAAGGTCATAAGTGTTAGGTGTTCCAGCCTTAAGCAGAAGTCAAAGCAGTCTCCATTGCTTTTATGATGTTCCATGCTTATTTACCATTTTGATTTTAGGAAGTTGCCCACCCTGTCCAAGAGTTAGTAGACAGAAGTGTGTCTGTGGCAAACGAGTAGCTGAAAGAAGCTGTGCAAGTCCACTGTGGCACTGTGATCTAGTAAGTGTATATGCGTTTTGAGGCGTGGGTGGTAAAGTCTACCAAAGCATGTACAATTAGAAATGCTAGTTAGGTTTAATTGGATAAAAAGAGAGGAAGAACAGCAAATCAGATGAATTTTATTCATGTTTTAGGAAACTTTTCAATTTAATACCATTTTAATTACCAGGAGGGATTTTTTTTTCAAATTAACAGCGACTTGTTGAATTTCAGATTTAGTACATATGTACTCTTTCTTGCTAGCTTTCTCTCCCTCTCTTTTCCCTCTTCTCAAGTTAATCCACTTGAGGAAGTAGGAGTGATTTTGTAGCTTGTCTTAGAATTTGTATGGCTTTAGTACCATTGGAAATCTTTGGTGGATGATCACATGAAACTGTATGTCCTTTTTGCCTTTATTATATTTTAAAAATATACTCTGGCACATAAGAAACGTGTGTGTGTGTGTGTTTATGCACATTCATGATACCTATGTAAGAGAGAAAGCATAATAATATGAGGAATATAAAGAAGTTGCTTATTTGTGATTGAGAAATTATTACATCATATACAAAGTCTTGTTAACTTTTAAGTCTTTAGCATTTATTGCTTGTTGTTTCAGATATGTGGGAAGACGCTACCATGTGGGAATCATACATGTGAGCAAGTCTGCCATGTAGGTGCTTGTGGAGATTGTCCTCGATCTGGGAAAAGGTTCTGTCCCTGTCAGAAGTCAAGTAAGGCTTTCCAAAAAATCTTTAATCAGATTATGATTACTTGTTAAGCTGATTATTATATTTTCCCAATTAGTTTTCTCTGGAAACTTAAAATGTTGCTTCAATAATAATGTAAATTCTGTATTAGATTTCTGCACGCCTGGGTAAGAGGACAATGTAGCCTGGTGGGTTAAGAACTCAGATTTGGCCCCAAACTTCCTGAGGCTCTGAAACGGGTGTCTTGTCAATCTCAGACCAACCTCTTTTCAACCCATCAAAGCACATTCAAGGTGTATCTTCAGCTTCCATCTGAACACTCTTTCAGCTCCCCTGTTCTTTCAGCCCCTGACCAGTGAAGAGAAGGCATTCAGGGAAGTAAATGTCAATACCCCACGCTGCATGCTGGTAAACAAAAACTGAAGTAGAGTGATAGTAATATGATCTTTGATTATATAAGGGTCACCATTCTGAATTGCATGCCAACATATATAAGAGTTAAGACTGTGATGAATATAAGTATTCCAAGATGTGTTCCTGATTTAGTTCCTTCCTCTGATCCCGTTTCTTTCTTTCCTTGCATGAATAAATCTCTGTTAAAATTAAATAAAAGAAAAAGACTAGGCATATCTGGGTTGAAATTCCACTTTCTTGAATTATACTTTTCTCAAAGTAAATGGGGGCAATAGTAGCACCTTCTTTATAAGATAATTTTGAGAATTAAGTGATAAAATGCACATAAATTTTTTACTGTAGTGGCCAGCACATGAAGGAAACCTAATAGTTATAAATTCTTGCCATTATTCTGTATTAGATTACAGGTGAATTTAGTTTTGACTGCTTTTAGATAAAGGCATAGAAGAGTTTCAGTTGACAATCACTTTCTTGAGAATTTAACACCAATACCAGCACACATATTTGTGAGATTATTGCCAACATTTGTTATAAAATATTTATGTTAAAGGCCAATTTCATAGTTTCAAAATCTAGATCTTTTTTTTTTCATCCGATGAACTTGTTTAGAGCAATTTCCCTTTTTTTTTTTTTTAAAAATTCTGTATATTGTAGAATTCTTGCTAGTGGTTTCCAGGGACTTACTCATTTCTTTAGAAAAATATTTCTGAAGTGGTTAGCTCATAAAAATGTGCTTCCTGAGTATGGTAACGTGTCATGTGTCGAATTCTTCTTAAAACGCATAAACTTTGGGACTTCCCTGGCAGTCCAGTAGTTAAGAATCCTCTTCGCAATGCAGGGGACCTGGGTTGGATCCCTGTTTGGGAACTAGGATCCCACATGCCGAAGAGCAGCTAAGCCTGAGTGCCACAACTAAAGAGCCTGTGCGCCATGACGAAGATCCCACGTGCCGCAACTAAGATCCGATGCATCCAAATAAATTTTTTTTTAAGAAAGCATAAACTTTACAAATATTAGGGGTTATTTTCATTAAAGTGAACTTTTTCCATTAATTATGTAGATGGAAAAACTCATATCAGAAAGTCCTGTCATTTAGGGAACCAGCAGTACATGGCACATTATTAGTGCTTTATAATAATATATGTTGTTGTTAATACTGATTTTTTTTGTCTGCTTCTAGAATTTTCCTTGCCTTGTACAGAAGATGTACCAACTTGTGGAGATAGTTGTGACAAAGTACTTGAATGTGGAATCCATAGATGTTCACAGCGTTGTCACCGAGGCCCTTGTGAAACATGTAGACAAGTTAGTCATCTCCTTGTAATAACTACTCTTTTAATAGTTGCCATAATATGTCAGATGGGATTGTTTTATAATTGTTCTCTTAAACATCTGTTGTCGTGATCTAACATTTATTATGATGAAACAGGAGAGTATGCCAGCAGTTAAATCTGAAGTTACCATTTATTTTGTATTCCTTGGTAAAAGTTTGAATGTTGTCATTTTTAGACTAGTGTGGACTTGTTTGTTCTCAGTAGACATTCAAAGCAACAATGAATTAGGCTTAGTGATGATGGAAAAAACTGCCTAGATGTGGTTTTGGTTTTGACATACTACCAGATAACCCAGTTTTTTTGTTTTATTGAAACTAGATGTATAGATGTTATGGTGTAATTAGATATAAGAGATTTTCATTGTTTTACTATTTAATATCAAGTTTTTACTAAATTTAATAATAGAAATTCTGTGAAGTCTTTTTGGAACAGGTGTCTTAGAAAATTCAGCCTTTTTTTTCTTAAGTCTTTAATACAAAAGGCTCTTAAAACTTTTCTCTTTCATTTTTTAGTAATTATAGAGATAGCAATGTGAAAAAAATCATATCAACAAAAGTCAATAGCGTTTGATTCTTCCAGGAAGTGGAAAAGCATTGTCGCTGTGGGAAGCATACAAAACGAATGCCGTGCCATAAACCTTATCTTTGTGAAACTAAGTGTGTTAAGATGCGGGACTGTCAGAAGCATCAGTGTAGGAGAAAGGTAATAAGCTTGGAAAACTGATTTTAAAATTCTTCTGAGCTTTTCCTTTTGGGACCCATGATAAGTGCCATCTTGATTTGTTCCTCAGATATTTAGATATACTCTTTGCTTCCTGTATGAAATATTAATAAATATTCTACATTACTGTTTGCATTAGTGGGGATTCTACCAGTGCTTTTAAATGGCAATGTTGTCAATGAAATACTAATAAATATTCTACATTGCTGTTTGCATTATGGGGATTCTACCAGTGCTTCTAAATAACAGTGGTGTCTGTGAAATATTAATAAATATTTTACATTACTGTTTGTATTATGGGAATTCTACCAGTGCTTCTAAATCACTATGGTGTCTATGAGATAGTAATAAATAGTCTACATTACTGTTTGCATTAGTGGGGATTCTACCAGTGCTTTTAAATCACAATGGTGTCTATGAGATATTGATAAATATCCTACATTACTGTTTGCATTGTGGGGATTCTACCAGTGCTTTTAAATCACAATGGTGTCCTTTTCTCCTGTGTGTAACTCCTCTGACTTGATCCTCTGGCTGTTTCTGCTCCCCGACTAAGACATCAGAGCAGTGTTAGCCGTGGCGTTTGGTTTTGTCGAGGCTTAACTTCTGCTATTCAGATCTTTATCTGCAGAAACTTGGTTCAGTATAAGGAGTATTTTATTGAGTCTGTCGATTTGCAGTTTTTTCAAACCTCTTTTATTATTATAAATTATCCCTCTATCTCTGGTAAGATACCTTGTTCCTAAATTTATTAAATATAGTGATTTCAACTTTGTTTTTCGTAGTGTTAATACAGTATATCTTTTCCGTCCTTTTAACTTATTCATATCTTTATATTTAAAGTGAACATGTACGGAGAGCACTTAGATTTTTTTTAATTTTATTCAATCTTTATTGTTTAATTTGGGTGTAGATCATTTACATTTCTTATGATCTTTAATAAAATGGTTGGATTTAAATCTGTCATTTTGCTATTTATTTTCTGTTTGCCCATCTGCTCTTTGTTTCTTTTCCTTTTTTTGTGTCTTCTGTTTGATTGAGTGTTGCTTTTCAATGATTCCATTTTACCTCCTTTATTTGATTCTCTCACATTCTATACCATTTTTTTAAAAAAAATCTTAAATATGTTGTTTTTGCTTTAAATAGGTATCTTTCAAAGAATTTGAAAAAATAAGTAATCTTTTATATTTATCAAACTCATGACTTTCATACTTTTTTCAAGATTCAGGTTTCTATCTGGTTTCATTTTCTTTTATCTGAAGAACTTCCTTTAACACCTCTTGAGTGCTGGTCATGGAGTCTTTCAATTTTGTAAACTCTCTTTGGCTTTTGTTTGTGAAAAATGTTTTTACTGTATGATTTTTATTTGACAGTTTTCCCGCCATACTTTAAACTATTTTTGTTATATTTGTTCTTCTGTATGTATCTTTTTTCTTTGACCATTTAAAAAGATTTTTCTCTTTATCATCAGTCTTCAGGAATTTATTAGTGATTTCCTTTGTATTGCCTTCTTCATGTTTCTTTTGCTCAGTTTTTGTTGAACTTCTTTTATTTCTTTATAGTTTTCATCATACTTAAGACATTTTCAATCTTTTTGCATTGTATAATCCCATTTTTGATCCCATCATGTATTTTCTCATCTCAGACAGTAATTTTTCATCTGAGACTTGGAGTTGTGTCTTTTTCTTATCTTCCATGTCTGTCCTTTTCATGCTCATGCTTTCTTCTATCGTCATCTGTATATAGGTGGATGGGCTATACCTCACATGCCTATTTTAATGTCCTTATCTACTAATTCTGTCATCTGTCATTTCTGGGTCTATTTTTGTTGATTGAATTTTGCTTTCCTTTTGGGTTATTCTTTCCTCCTGGGTGACTTTTGGTTGGTTTCCAGATATTTATGAACTTTATATTTTGTGCTACCATTTCTCCACAAATTCTACCATACTGGCCTCTGAACCTTGAATTTTGTCTCAGTAACTTGGTGAGACCACTGGATTTTGCTTGTGATTTTTCTCCTTGTGCTGCAGTGTGGAAACTTCCAGGTCTAAGCTTGTGCTATGATAGGACTCACCTTTTTTGTTTTATCTTTTCATAGGGTTTCTGTCCAGTGCTGCCTAATTGTCCAAATTCTGAAAGCTGTTGTTTCATATATTTTGTCTGGTTTTCTAGTTGTTTAAAGCAGGAGAGTAAATCTGGTCATTATTGCTCGCCATGGTGAGAAACACACACCTTAAAGGCTTATTGCAATGATCTTCTTTTCCCCCATTGGCACTGGGAAAGTGATAGGCACGTAGTATTATTTGGCAAATACTTACTGAACTGAATGAACTATTTTAACTTTTAATTGCTTTTCAATAATGTGTATTTTGTTTTGAGCTATTTTTATATCCTGAAGCTTTTTCTTAAGTAGCTTACAAACCCATGTTTCTTTCAGACAATTGTAGTCTGTATTTCGTTTCCAAGGTTTGGATATATGAGAAGTCAAGGAGTTAGAATGGTGGATGGAACTTTTAGGTAGTTGCTTTGTGCTCATGAATGAAAATTGGGACAAGTCTTAGGCAGCTATATTTCTTACAGATTGAAAATTAAGAAGTAACACTGAAATCAATTAGCCTGTCTCTGCTTCTTTCCTTTAGTTAGACTCTGATTCTTTGGTTTGAAAATAATTGCCCACCTAATTTATATATTGAACTGGCTTTATTATAATTAAATCTTAAAAATAGGCAGATTGTTTGCCTAAATTGATTATAGAGTTTGACCAGATGCATTCCTGTGGTTAATGTTGTCAGTCTCTGCATAGATAAGTAGAAGAGAATCTCTTATGGAACGATTTTAAATCATAGAATAGTTAACTAAAGGGCATGTAAATTTAGCTTGATTTCATTAAATTAGGTCATTGTCTATTTAAACTTACAAGTTCTTAGTATAATGTATTCTACACAAGAATGTTGATACTCTTGAATATTCTTTTTCTTATAGTGAAAAGAACAATCTTTTGATTTCCCTAAGTTCTGTGAATAACTAGTAATGACATTCTTATTATGTATGATTTTCAAATTATCTGTTCTTTATATATTGCTTTCCCTTCAGTGTTGCCCTGGAAACTGTCCACCTTGTGATCAAAACTGTGGACGGACTTTAGGATGTAGAAACCATAAGTGTCCATCTGTCTGCCATAGAGGTAAAATTTAATAACAGCTGTAATTTTATGTTTATATTTACATAGTGCTTTATAGTTGATAGAGAGCTTTCACATTTATTATCTTACTCTTAACAGTTTTGAGACGTTAGAGTAGTCGCTAGTATCCTTATTTTATGGTTGAGGACATTTAAGCTGAAGAGGATTTAGTGATTTCCATTAGGGAATTTTCTAGTAAAGCACTGTAGCCAAGATTTGAACCCAGGCCTTCTGAATATAAACTTTTGTTCTTTCTGTAATACCTTATTGTTTCCTTTCTTCTACCCAACCTTCCCCATATAGTTTTTAAGCTAATAGGTTTTACAGTACTATTTTGAATTTTAGACATTTATATGAAATTAAGTTTAGTAAAGGAATGGATATATTCTTTCCAGTGGGTCTCAAAATTTTTTATCTCAAGGCCCTTTTACACTGTTTTTGGACCTAAAGACCTTTTGTTAATATGGGTTTTATCTATTCATACTTATGTATTTAAAATGACAATATAATAACATTATTTTATTTAAGGATAGTAATAACCCATTACATCTTAATACAGTAACTTTTTGTGTGTGAAAAATAAGTATTTCCTGGAAAAAAAAACAGTGGGAAGAATGGTATTTTGTATTTTTGCAGATGTCTTTAATGTCCAGCTTAGTAGAAGATAACTAGATTCACATATCTGCTTCTGCATTCAATATATTGTGATATCCTTTGTCACATAGTTTCTGGAAAATTCTAATCTATGTATATGAGATCTTGCACACCACCTGAAAGGGTCTCAGGAGTCCGTAAGTTATTAGATGTTGAAAACTGAGTTAACTTGACTCATTTGGAGTATGCTAGTATGAAGTGAAATCTCCTGAAAGATAGTATATAGTAGTAGAAAGAGCATGGACTTAAATTAAGAGGTCTGAGTCAAGTCTGGACTTAGTAGCTATATGACCTTGGACAAACTGCTGTACTGTTTTTTGTTGTTTTCCTTTGGGATTAGGTGGATGCTAGATATCTCTCTTAATGTCTTCGTCCTTTCAGGAATCTTGGAAGGCGAATGACATTAGTGTTGTTTTGTGTAAGAAGGAAGAAGGCAAAGACTTTGGCCCAAGGTTATAGAACTAGTTACAGAGTCAGGATGTGAACCCAAAACTTCAATAAGTATTTTTGAGTGTCTTCTAAGTACCAGGCACCGGGATTATACGAGTGAATGATTTGACAAAGTGCCTGCTTTTATGAAACTTATTTTGTATCTCTCTCTTAATTAGAATAAAAATAAATAAATTAGTACAGAATATCAAATAGTGACAAGTATAATAAGAGAATTAGAGTGAAATTAAAATCGTGTTAGTGGAGATGATATATATTGCTTTACATAGTGTGGTCACAGTAGGATGATATGTGAGGGGGACGCTGAGAGAAATAGGGATCAGACACTGTGGACTTGGAGATGGCTTAAGACAGAAACATTTGAGAGGACTGAAGTGATTGTCCAAGGAGATGAGGTCAGAGAGATGGTGGGATAAAGGGCTGCTGAGGAAAGGAGAATATGTCTAGGGTCTCAGAAGCCACTGTTAAAACGTGGCCTTCACTTTAAGTTGAAAACTTGACTAGTTGTATGACCATCAGAGAAATTAGATCAGTAGTTGAGAATTTTCTCACCAAGGAAAAAAAGGCCTCGTTGATATATTTACACATGATTTTTAACAAATAAACATTTAAGGTATATATAAGTTTAATCTCTTTGTAATGTATTTGATAGTATATGTAAAAAAGGATTGTGCCCCAGCTCGTTATATATCTTACAGGGAAAGTAAGAGAAAATCACAGGTCAATCTAACTCATGAACATGTTTGTGAAATTAGTTTTAACCACTCAGATCCAGCTAGATGGTATTAAGATATCCATGCAATAATATATGGTTGGCTTAAGGTTAGTAAGTCTAATGTTTCCACCACATTAACAGACTAAAGGAGAAATGAGATCATTTTAGTAAATGTCAGAGAAACAGTTAATAAAATTCAAAATCCATATATGATGAAAACTTAACCAGGAATAGAGGAGAGCATCCTTAACCCAATATATAGAGTATCTGCAAAAAAGCATAGAGCAAGCATCATACTTAGTGGAGAAATGTTGAAAGCATATCCCCATCTTGTACTACTTTGAAGCAGACCCCATAAATACTTCAATATTCATCTCTAAAAGATGGATTCTTAACCTGAAAATAGTTAATCTGTTTCTTAATAGCAAATATGTTGTGTTCACATATCTTGTTGTTTCATAAATACCTTCATTTTTTTACTTCAGTTTGTATGACTCAGAAATCTTACTGAGATTGACATTGTAGTTGGTTGATGTCTCTCAAGTCTGTTAATTTGTAATTTCCCTCTTTTTCTATGATTTTCCATCTTTTTCTTTTGTCACTTAAGAAACTAGACTGCTTTATACAGTTTTATAGAGTCTGGATTTTGCAGAATGCATCTCTGTGGTATTATTGAATTTTTGGCATTTTCTTCTGTATTTCCTATAAACTGTTAGTGGGACTAGTGGTTTGAGCAGATTCTGGGTTTATTATTATTATTGTTGTTGTTTGGCAGAATGTTTATTTTTAAAAAAGCTTATTAGCCCCTAACAAAATTTATCTTAATGGAAAGTGTATGTAAATACCATTGTACAGCTCTTACCATTTGTTTAATACTCAATTGCATAAGATATGTAAAATCATTACTTTATGTTATTTCCCATTATTCTAGACACCTTCATAATCTAAGTTGTGCTGTAACTCATAGGGAGAGCATGCTGTCTGCATGTTTGTACTGTGAATATATGAAAGTTCAATTTATAGTTCTTTTAAGTTTAAGACCATCCATGGATATGGTTCCAGAATTACTGGGCTTTTGACCCACTGGTCACTGTAACGGTGCTCCTTTTTCATTTAAAAAACACTGTAACTGGAGTTATTTTAGTTTATCTGTCATGTTGTACATACAGGTGTCTGTAATGGGTTCGTTAGGAAGACTGTTCAGGGAAATTATCCCTTATTCTCAAGATTTAATTAAAAAAAAAAGAAAACTAATGCTGTAGTTTAGGATGGTGAAAAGATGTTGATAAGTTTCTCTCTGAATTGCTGAAGATGAATGAAAATTACCATTGTTAAGTGTGGGAATTGATACAATGTGCTGCATAAGAACAAACATAAATATTGCCATTAATTTTTCTAAAAATGTGACATCTAGTCATTCTTTTGGAAGGAACAGAATAAAGTTTGTTCAGGTGAGTCAGGATGACTTGGTTTGCATTACCATCAAGATAACACTTAATTGGATTATACTTTCCAAAACACTGAAGTCTAAGTTTGGTAATTTGTATGATACATGTGTGTTTTTTCCTACGATGTTTTTTTTCCCCCCGTGGTCATTATTTAACTTATTAAATATTTTTAGCTTGTGCTTGTTTTGAACTTACAGAGTCTTTAAGCAGACTGTTTTCCATCACTAACCTGTTCTTGTTAGGTTGGCCGCTGTTGAGCATTTTGCTTGGTCCTGACGCCTAGACAGCAATGTCTTGAGATACCTACTTCCTAGTTGAAGACTCTTTATTCCGTTTTTATTATTTCATTTTTAGTGGGGTGCCCTACTGGGAAAACAGAAAGAAAGCCCTTAAGAGAATGTCAAAGCCTTGGGGAGAACTTTTTAGCCCATTTTAAAAGATTTCTTTTCAGTTGGTTTTGTGTGTTTCTACCAACCCATAACAAAAGAAGGTGAAAAACGAAAACCCTAAAGATGTTTCCTTTTGAAATGTTTAGAAGAGAATTATTTGGAATTATAGCCTAAAATGAGATTTTAAAATTTAGTCTTTTCTCAGAGCACAAGTAATGGAAAATTGACTATACTTGTTAATAATCTGATGAAAGAAGTCACTCATATTGGGGAATTTATCTTAAAATAATGTATGTATTAATTCAAAATGTATGTATGAAATTAAGCCAAAAAGGTTATTGCTAACAGATTTTCCAAAGACTTAGCTCCATTTTGCTTATATAATTTTAATAATGTGTTATTTGTTACTTAGAATAGAACTTTTAGCAAATTTTAAAGAAAATTCTAAAACTTTTTTTGAAGTACCAGTGTAGATACAGAAAAGTATACAGATAGCAAGTGTACAGTTTGATGACTTTTTATAAACTGAAACTACCCATATAACCAGAACTCACATTATTAAACAGAGCATTACCAGCATTTCCAAAACTCTTTTGTGTCCTTTGTAATAATTATCCTGATTTTAAACAGTGTAGATTTAATTTTTCCTGTTTATTTTATGTAAATGGAATCATACTCTTGGTGTCAAATTTCTTTTGCTCATTATATGTGTGAGGTTATTATATCTGTGAGGTTCATTCATACTGGTTTTATTCTCATAGTAGAATATCCCATTGTGAGAATATACTAAACTTATTGATTCTGCTGTTGATGGGAATTTGGATAGTTAAGGAACTTTCTCTTTAAGTTTCAGACTTTTTTTTTTTCAGGTAGTTGTTATCCTTGCCCAGAAACTGTAGATGTGAAGTGCCATTGTGGGAATACAAAGGTGACAGTACCCTGTGGCCGAGAACGTACCACAAGACCCCCCAAGTGCAAAGAGCAGTGCAGGTTAGTAAAAAACTGCACAGACTTACATCTGGTATCTTAGAGGTTTAAATTCATACTGATTTTTAATTTTGTTAGTATTTTCAGTTTTGCTTTAATGTTCTAAAATATTAATATTCACAATATGATCATTCTGTGTGGAATCAGAATATATATAAATAAATAATTTCACTTTAGATATAATTGTTCCGTGATCAAAGTAATTTAAAAAATTGTATTTTATAATTTAGTCGTCCACCAACTTGCCATCATACAAGTCAAGAGAAACATCGCTGTCACTTTGGCTCTTGTCCTCCATGTCGTCAACCATGCCAAAAGGTTTTGGAGAAATGCGGTCACTTATGTCCTGCTCCGTGTCATGATCAAGCATTAATAAAGCAAACTGGCAGGGTAAGAGAACAACTATTACTAAGAGATAATGCATTTCTCTGGGTTAGGTTTTCTTAATTTTACTTAGTCATACAATAAGAGATGATTAATTACTTACTGGGTATTAAACACTGTGATAGGAGCTGAGTCATAAGGTATAGGGCTTCCCTGGTAGCTCAGGTGGTAAAGAATCTGCCTGCAATGCAGGAGACCCTGGTTCGAGTCCTGGGTCGTGAAGATCTGCTGGAGAACAGAGAGGCTACCCACTCCAGTTTTCTTGGGCTTCCTTGGTGGCTCAGGTGATAAAGAATCTGCTTGTAATGCAGGAGAGCTGGGTTCGAACCCTGGGTTGGGAAGATCCCCTGGAGAAGAGAAAGGCTACCCTCTCCAGTATTCTGGCCTGAGTCCGTGGGGTCGCAAAGAGTCGGACACGATTGAGTGACTTTCATATAAGGTTTAAGACTTGACCTTCTGTCTTCAGAAGCTCACAGTATAGAAAAGAAAAGAAACCAATAAGCAAATGTTTGTAAAAACAGCATGATAGTCATTTTATAATCATGCAGATGAGTTTGTGAGTCCTCCATATATTGTGGTTTAGGGTTATAAGTAACTCCTAATTTCTTCAAAGATTCCTTCACACATTCAGCAAATATTTACTGAATTCTTACTATGTGTTAAGCATTCTTCTAGGTGCTGGGACGATAAAAATGGACCAAACAATGGAGGTTAAATTCTATTGGTGTAATTTAGATTTTACGATTCTGTTTTGTAAAGTGGAGGATGCTATGCTGCCTTTGTTCTGTTATTTAAAAACTACAGTCTGCCTCAATTTTTAATATAATTGTGTTGGAGGGAACCAATGTAATGGAATTTAAGGATATAGTAATATATTTCAATAAGCACAATTTGTTGATTACTTGAAAAAATTTCAACCTGCTTGAGCAGAGGATTTGTGGAACTGTCTTCTTAGATTCTTAAACTGGCCATACAGTTTAACTCCTCTGACTTAAAATTGGTATGTATTTTACTTGTAGCACCAGCCTACAGGCCCTTGGGAACAGCCTTCTGAACCAGCATTTATTCAGACTGCATTGCCTTGTCCTCCATGTCAAGTTCCTATTCCTGTGTAAGTATTAGAATTTTAGCTTTTTTTTTTTTTTTTTAATTTATTTTCATTGTGGCATGTGGGGTCTTTAGTTGCAGCATGTGAACTCTTAGTTAGGGTATGTGGGATCTAGCTCCCTGACTTAGAAACATGGGCTCTCTGCATTGGGAGCAGAATCTAAGATCTTTTGACATAGTTCAAAACATATCTTAAGAAACTTCTCCCCTTTTTCTTTTGGTAGTTCATCATTATTTCAGGCCTGGCCTGAAAAGTGGGCTTCCCTGGGGGCTCTGGTAACCTGGTATCTCTTCCCTGGTAGCCTGTAAAGTAGTCTGTCTTTCTGTTTCATTCTTTTCCAAATATATTTTGCTTACTGCTTAAAATCTTCCTCTAGATAACTTTTTTTGAGTCATCTTCCCCAACTAGAGTTTTAATGGGTCAGTATAGCCACTCCTACTCTTCTTTTGGTTACTGTTTGCATGGATAAATGGACAGATTCTTAGAAACACATAACTGTACTGAAACTGACCCAAGAAGAAGTAGGAGATCTGACTGTAACTAGTAAAGAGGGTAAATTAGTAACAAAAACCTTACCACAAAGAAAACCTCAGGACCAGTGACTTCACTGGTGAATTCCACCAAACTTTTAAAGAGTTACCACCAGTGTTTTACTAAGGAGGGACACTTCCTGATGTATTCAGTGAGGCTCGGATTTCCCTGTTAATAAATCAGAAAAAGGAAAAATACAGACCAGTGTCCCCTTTTTAATATAGATACAAAAATTCTTAACTAGATATTAGCAAACTAAATCCAGCAACACGCAAAAAGAATTACATACCATGGCCAAGTGTGTATATTCCAGAAATAGGAGGTCGAATCAACCTCAGTCATTCATTCATCAATGATTGATTAAAATCAATCATCTTAGTACTTCATCAGTAGAGTAAAAGGCAGTTGATAGATGCAGAAAAACATTTGACAAAATCTGACACATTTTCTTGATACAAACACTCAACAGTCTTCGGGTAAGAGGGAGCTTCCTCAACCCAGTGAAGGATATCTATGAAAAACCCACAGTTAACATCACACTTAATGGTGAAAGATTTAAAGGTTTCCCCCTGAGTATCAGGAACAAGACTAGGATGTTTGTTCTGCCACTTCTGTTCAATACTATACTATAGATACTAGCTAGAGCAATTAGACTAGAAAATGAAAAAGTAATACTGTTTGGATTTTCAGATAGCATGCTCATGTGTATGGAAGACCCTAAGGAATCTTTCCAAAAGTTATTAGAGATATTAAATAAGTTTAGTGAGGTTATAAGAAGCATGAATATACAAAAGTCAATTTTATTTTTATATGCTAACAATGAACAATCTGAAAATTGAACTAAGGAAACAGTTCCATTTCCAGTAACATTAAGAAGAATAAACATTTTGTTTATTTAACAAATTTGATAGAAGAAATCCAAGATTTCCACACTGAGAACTATAAAATGTTGTTAGAATTTAAAGAGGACCAAAGACTGTAGTACTCACATCCAGATAGACATAAAGGTCAAGTGCCTAGATCTGACAGCCCAGAAGTAAATGCATACATTTATGGTCAGTTGATTTTTGGCAGGAATGTCAGAATAATTAAATAGGGGAAAGAATGCTTTTTGTAACAAATGGTTTGGGGACAACTGAATATTCACATGGAAAATGAGCTCAAATTCTTACATCACAGCATATGTATATGGTAACTCAAAATGGATCAGAGGCCTACAATTAAGGACTCAAACTACTAAACTCTAAGAAGAAAACATAGAATAAAAGCGTCCTTGGGTTAGGCATTGTTTTATTAGATATGACACCTAAAACATAAACAAGAAACAAAAATTGGAGTTCATAAAAAGTAAGTCAGAGGACATTATCAAGAAAGTGCACATTAAGGACACTATCAAAAATTTGAAAAGATAGCTCACAGAATGGGAGAAAATGTAAATATGTATCTTATAAGAGTATATTATCCAGAGTATGTAAAGAATTGTTAGACTGAGAGACAAAAAGACTAATAGTCCAGTTTCAAAATGGTCAAAGACTTAAAATAGGTATTTCTTCGAAGAAGATCTACAAATAGATAATAAGTACATGTGAAAAGATGCTCCATGTCACCAGTTAGGAAAATATATATCAAAACCACCAAGAGATAGCATTTTATACCCACTAGGAAGGCTAACATAAAACAGACATACGATGTGTTGGTGAAGATACGGAGAAATTGGAGCCATTATACATTGCTATTGGGAATGTAAAATGGTGTAGCTATTTTGGAAACAGTTTGGTAGTTTCTCAGGAGACTTAACAGAGCAACCATATAACCCAGCAATTTTGCTTTAGATCTATACCCAGGAAAATTGAAAATGTATGTTCACAAAAACTTGAATGTCCATAGCAGCATCATTACTAATAGCCCCAAAAGTGAAGACAGCTCAATTGTCTGTCAACTGATGAATGGATAAGCAAAGTGTGGTTTAGCCATATAACGGAATATCAGTTCAGTTCAGTTGCTCAGACGTGTCCGAATCTTTGCGACCCCATGGACTGCAGCATGCCAGGCCTCCCTGTCCATCACCAACTCCTGGAGTTTACTCAAACTCATGTCCATCAAGTCGGTGATGCCATCCAACCATCTCATCCTCTGTCGTCCCCTTCTCCTGCCTTCAGTCTTTCCCAGCATCAGGGTCTTTTCAGATGAGTCAGTTCTTCGCATCAGGTGGCCACGGTAATGGAGTTTCAGCTTCAGCATCAGTCCTTCCAATGGATATTCAGGACTGATTTCCTTTAGGATGGACTGGCTGGATCTCCTTGCAGTCCAAGGGACTCAAGAATCTTCTCCAACACCATAGTTCAAAAGCATCAATTCTTTGGTGCTCAGCTTTCTTTATAGTCCAGCTCTCACATCCATATATGACTACTGGAAAAACCATAGCTTTGACTAGACAGACCTTTGTTGGCAAAGTAATGTCTCTGCTTTTTAATATGCTGTCTAGGTTGGTCATAACTTTTCTTCCAAGGAGTAAGCGTCTTTTTATTTCATGGCTACAGTCACCATCCACAGTGATTTTGGAGCCCCCAAAAATAAAGCCCTTCACTGTTTCCATTGTTTCCCCATCTATTTGCCATGAAGTGATGGGACCAGGTGCCGTGATCTTAGTTTTCTGAATGTTGAGCTTTAAGCCAACTTTTTCACTCTCCTCTTTCACTTTTATCAAGAGGCTCTTTAGTTCTTCTTTGCTTTTTGCCATAAGGGTGGTGTCATCTGCATATCTGAGGTTATTGATGTTTTCTCCCGGCAATCTTAATTCCAGTTTGTGCTTCATCCAGCCCAGCATTTCTCATGACGTACTCTGCATAGAAGTTAAATAAGTAGTGTGCCGATATACAGCCTTGACGTACTTCTTTCCCTATTTGGAACCAGTCTGCTGTTTCATGTCCAGTTCTAACTGTTGCTTCATGACCTACATACGGGTTTCTCAAGAGGCAGGTCAGGTGGTCTGGTATTCCCATCTCTTTCAGAATGTTCCACAGCTTGTTGTGATCCACACAGTCGAAGGCTTTGTCGTAGTCAATAAAGCAGACATAGACTTGCCCGTGAGTGTCCGGGAGTCTCCAGTGGAGGCGTGGGTCGACAGTGGCCTGCTGCAGGGCTGTGGGCACTCAGTGTAGCAGTGCATGCGTGGGGCCTTTTGAAGGAGGTCGCCATTATCTTCATCACCTCCACCATGGTTTGGCTCCAGGTAAATAGCAGGGAGGGAACACAGCTCCACCCATCAATAGAAAATTGGATTAAAGATTTACAGAATATGGCCCTGCCCATCAGAACAAGACCCAGTTTCCCCCTCAGTCAGTCTCCCCCATCAGGAAGCTTCCATAAGCCTCTTAGCCCTCTCCATCAGAGGGCAGACAGACTGAAAACCACAATCACAGAAAACTAACCAATCTGATCACGTGGACCATAGCCTTGTCTAACTCAGTGAAACTTATGAGCCGTGCCATGTAAGGCCACCCAAGATGGATGGGTCGTGGTGACGAGTTCTGACAAAACGTGTCCACTGGAGAAGGGAATGGCAAACCACTTCAGTATTCTTGCCTTGAGAACCCCATGAACAGTATGAAAAGGCAAAAAGATAGGACACTGAAAGATGAACTCCCCAGGATGGTAGGTGCCCGATATGCTACTGGAGATCAGTGGAGAAGTAACTCCAGAAAGAATGAAGAGACAGAGTCAAAGCAAAAACAACACCCAGTTGGGGATGTGACTGGTGATGGAAGTAAAGTCTGATGCTGTAAAGAACAATATTGCATAGGAACCTGGAATGTTAGGTCCATGAATCAAGGCAAACTGGAAGTGGTCAAACAGGAGATGACAAGAGTGAACATCGACTTTTTAGGAATCAGCAAACTAAAATGGACTGGAATGGGTGAATTTAACTCAGATAACCATTATATCTACTACTGTGGGCAAAAATCCCTTAGAAGAAATGGAGTAGCCATGATAGTCGACAAAAGAGTCTGAAATGCAGAACTTGGATGCAGTCTCAAAAATGACAGAATGATCTCTGTTCATTTCCAAGGCAAACCATTCAGTATCACAGTAATCCAAATCTATGCCCTGACAAGTAATGCTGAAGAAGCTGAATGGTTCTATGAAAACCTACAAGACCTTCTAGAACTAACACCCAAAAAAGATGTCCTTTTCATTATGGGGGACTGGAATGCAAAAGTAGGGAGTCAAGAAATACCTGGAGTAACAGGCAAATTTGGCCTTGGAGTGCAGAATGAAATAGGTCAAAGGCTAACAGAGTTTTGCGAAGAGAAGGCACTGTTCATAGCAAACATCCTGTTCCAACAACACAAGAGAAGACTCTACACATGGACATCACCAGATGGTCAATACTGAAATCAGATTGATTATATTGTTTGCAGCCAAAGATGGGGAAGTTCTGTACAGTCAGCAAAAACAAGACCAGGAGCTGACTGTGGCACAGACCATGAACTCCTTATTGCCAAATTCAGACTTAAATTGGAGAAAGTAGGGAAAACCACTAGATCATTCAGGTATGACCTAAGTCAAATCCCTTATGATTATATAGTGGAAGTGACAAGTAGATTCAAGGGATTAGATCTGATAGAGTGCCTGATGAACTGTGGACGGAGGTTCGTGACATTGTACAGGAGGCTGTGATCAAGACCATCCCCAAGAAAAAGAAATGCAAAAAGGCAAAATGGCTGTCTGAGGAGGCCTTACAAATAGCTGTGAATAGAAGAGAAGCGAAAGGCATAGGAGAAAAGGAAAGATATTCTCATTTGAATGCAGAGTTCCAAAGAATAGCAAGGAGAGATAAGAAAGCCTTCCTCAGTGATCAGTGCAGAAAAATAGAGGAAAACAATAGAATAGGAAAGAGTGGAGATCTCTTCAAGAAAATTAGAGATACCAAGGGAACATTTCATGCAAAGATGGGCTCAATAAAGGACAGAAATGGTATGGACCTATCAGAAGCAGAAGATATTAAGAAGCGGTGGCAAGAACTGTACAACAAAGATCTTCATGACCTAGATAATCATGGTGTGATCACTATCCTAGAGCCAGACATCCTGGAATGCGAAGTCCAGTGGGCCTTAGGAAGCATCTCTACGAACAAAGCTAGTGGAGGTGATGAAATTCCAGTTGATTCATTTCAAATCCTAAAAGGTGATGCTGTGAAAGTGCTGCACTCCATATGCCAGCAAATTTGGAAAACTCAGCAGTGGCCGCAGGGCTGGCAAAGGTCAGTTTTCATTCCAATTCCAAAGAATGCTCAAACTACCACACAATTGCACTCATCTCACATGCTAGTAAAGTAATGCTCAAAATTCTCCAAGTCAGGCTTCAACAGTATGTGAACCGTGAACTTCCAGATGTTTAAGTTGGTTTTAGAAAAGGCAGAGGAACCAGAGATCAAATTGCCAACATCCGTTGGATCATCCAAAAAGCAAGAGAGTTCCAGAAAATTATCTGCTTCCGCTTTATTGAGTATGCCAAAGCCTTTGACTGCGTGGACCACAACAAACAATGGAATATGATTCAGCCATACAAATGCATGAATTTTTTATATTTTTGCATGTTGCATGGTTGAACCTTGAAAACATTTCATTCTAAATGAAAGAAGCCAGACACAGAGGCCACATAATACATAATATGAAATGTCCATAATAGACAAATCCATAGAGACAGAAAGTAGGTTAGTGGTTTCAGAGTCTGAGGATAGGAGTCCATGGAGAATGTTTCTGATCGTTTCAGGGCTTCTCTTTGGGTCATGAAAATATTCTAGGATTAAGTCATGGTGATTGTAGTTACACAACCTTGTGAATACACTAAACACCTCTGAATTGTACTCTTTAAAAAGTATACATTTTATGGTATGTGAATTTTATCTCAGTTTTAAAAAGGAGAAGAACATGTATAAAGGTCCTTCTAACTCTGATATGGTTTTTTAGTAACATGCATAACAAAATTATTGTAAAGTATATATTAAAAATATTACTTGTCACATGAATTATCAAGGTAATATAATTTCTTATTATTGTACAGTGTTTATGTTTTCTTGTCCTCTTGTTTTAAAAATAACATTACATTTGATAATAATTTGGCCATGTGCTATAAGAATGCTGAACATGTATGTATAACATATATAGTATGTGCTATATCATTTAGGATGCCTTTAGCTTCAAGTAACAGAAACTCCAAATAAAAAGCAATATGGTAATGTTTATTTCTTGCACAGTAGACTAGTGTTAGAACTGCTTCATAGTTGGTTAATCTGATTAATTCAGATACCTCATTGAGGGCCCAAATTTTGTCCTTACTTTGTATCCTTGGTATAGTCTTTGCTCTTTGACTGTTTGCCTTTCTGATAAACTTCCCGTCCAGTTGGTAAAGTTTCCAGAGGGAGAAATGGAAGCTGTTTGTGTGTTCAGCCATCATCTTCTTTATTTAAATACTGAGGAAATTTTTCCCATAATAAAATTCTTTTCACTTTTCATTGGCCAGAGTTGGATCACATGACAATTTCTAAACCAGTCTCTCAAAAGGGATATAAAATATTTTTTTGGTTCTTTAATAGACAGTTTTGTAAAGATGACTTTTTAGGTTTACAGGAAAATTTCACAGAAAGTACAAAGAGGTCTTTTTTTCCTGCCATTCACACACAGTTTCCCCTATTATTAATATATTACATTAGTGTGGAATTGTATTCTTTGAAAGTGTAAACTTTATGGTATGTGAATTTTATCTCAGTTTAAAAACCAAAAGCATATATATATAAAGGTCTTTCTGACTCTGATATAATGCTTTTTCAGTGGCATGTGTAACATAAGTATTATTATGAAGTATATGTTGAAATTTATTATTTGTCACATGAACTATCCAGGTAATACAAAATTTCTTTCTTAGAGCAGAATTTTTTACAGCTGAAGAACTGATACTGATACATTAACTAAAGTCTATAGTTTACATTAGGATATACTTTTCCAGTTGTATGTGCATAATCTCCTGCCTGCATCCACCATTACTTACCATACAGAATAGTTTCACTGCCCTAAAAACATCCTGCGCTACATTTGTTCATCCCTCACCTGCTTGTCCCTCAAGCCCCTGGAAACTGTTCATCCTTTTCTTTCTTTTACTGTCTTTAGAATTCTTCCTTTTTCAAATTGTCCTGTAGTTGGAATCCTACAGTATATAGCCTTTTTAGCATGTCGCACTTAATAATTTACATTTAATTTCCTCTATGTCTTTTTATGGCTTGATGGCTTATTTCTTTTTACTGCTAAGCAATATTCCATTGTACCACAGTTTGTTTATCCATTCACCTATTGAAGGGCATTTTGGCTGTCGAAGTTTTAGCAGCTATGAAGAAAGCTGCTGTAAACGTTCATGTGCAAGTTTTTGTGTGGTCATATGCTTTCAACTCATTTGGGTAAATGTTTAGGAGTGCTAATTCTGGATCATATGGGAGGCCTATGCATACCTATATAAGACAACGCCATTTTGCATTCTCTCAGCAGTGAATGAGAGTTCCCTTTGCCCTGCATCCTTACCAGCAAATATTATTGTCAGTGTTTTGGATTTTAGCTGTTCTAAGGGGTGTGTAGTAACAGCATCTTACTGCTGTTTTAATTGGCAGTTCTCTAATGGTAAATGATGTTGAAGATCTTTTCATATGCTTATTTGCCATTTGTGTGTGTATATATATATATAAAGTGTCTGTTCTCTGTTCAGATCTTGCCCATTGATTTAATTGAATTGTTTGATTTATTATTATTGAATTTTAAGAGTTCTTTTATAGTTTGCATACAGGTCCTTTACCAGCTGTGTTTTTCCAAATATTTTCTCCCAGTCTGTGGCTTATCTTTTCATTTAGGTGTTCTTATTTAAGCGCTTATGCAGAGCAGATATTTTGTGTTTAATGAAGTCCAACTTAGCCATTTTTCTTTCTTGGTTCGTGCTTTTGGTGTTGTATTTAAAAAGTCATCACCAAACCAAGGTCACCTAGATCTTCTCCTGTGTTTATAGTTCTGCATTTCACATTTAGGTCTTTGATCCATTTTGAAGTAACTTCAGAAAGGTATAAAGTCTGTTTGTATTTTTTTTCCATGTAGATGTTCCTTTGTTCCAGCACCAGTCATATGCTGGAAAGTCTGTCCTTTCACCGTTTGATTGCAGTTCTCCTTTGTCAAAGATCAGTTGACTGTCTTTGTGTGACTCTGTTTCTGGGCTCTCTGTCTGTTCCATTGATGTGTTTGTCTGTTCTTTCACCAGTACCATACTATCTTGATCACTGTACCCTTATAATAAGGCTTGATGTTGGGTAGTGTCAGTTCTTTCCCTTTGTTCTTCAGTACTGTGTTGGCTATCCTGGGTTTTTTTGTTTTTCCATATAGATCTTAGAATCAGTTTCTTGATACACACAAAATAACTTGCTAGGATTTTGATTGTAATTGTGTTGAATCTAGATGAAGTTGGAAAGAAGTGACATTTTAACAGCATTGCACCTTTCTAAAGATGAACATGAAGTATCTCTTCATATATTTAAGTCTACTTTTATTTCTTTCATCAATGTTTTATAGTTTTCTTCATATAGATCTTATTATTTATTTTGTTAGATTTATATCTAAGTATTTCATTTTGTATGTGCTAGTATAAACGGTGAAAGTGAAAGTTGCTCAGTCATGTCCTACTCTTTGCGACCCCATGGACTATACAGTCCATGGAATTCTCTAGGTTAGAATACTGGAATGGGTAGCCTTTCCCTGCTCCAAGGGATCTTCCCAATCCAGGGATCGAACCCAGGTCTCCTGTGTTGCAGGCGGATTCTTTACCAGCTGAGCCACAAGGGAAGCCCAAGAATACTGGAGTGGGTAGCCTATCCCTTCTCCAGCGGATCTTCCTGACCCAGGAATCGAACCGGGGTCTCCTGCATTGCAGGTGGATTCTTTACCAGCTGAGCTACCAGGGAAGCCTTGGTATAAATGGTGGTGTGTTTTTAATTTCAAATTCCAGTTCATTGCTGGTAAATAGGAAAGCAGTTGGCTTTTGTATTTTAACTTTGTATGCTGGAATCTTTCTGTAATCACTTATTATTTCTGTATGTGTTTATTTTTTATTCATAATTTAAAAACCAATAGAGTTAGCATCGTTGCTTTAATAATATTCTTTTTGAAGAATGCATAATGTTTTCATTTTTTTTCTTACAGGGAATGTCTTGGAAACCATGAGGTGAGTTACAGGCACAAGCTCTAAGGAAAGCTTACAGCCTATTAACATATTCCTCTCCTATATGCTGGTTATTAGAAATGACAAAGGCCATGCATTGTCTGCTTAGTGCCCTGAAGAGCCAGAGTTTGTCTGCCAAGCGCTCAAGAGTGTGCAGTGCTTTTGTTTGAGGGTTAGCTTGTGAAGCGTTCATTACAGAAGCATTATATTGTTGAGTTTCCCTTTTGGAAATAGGATATTTTGCTTCTTGGCATTCATTCTTTGGATTTTTTTGATAGGTTACTTTGATTTTGATAGTAATTATTAATGAAACGTGTTAGATAGAACTTGTTCTCAAATGAATAACAATCATTTTTGAAACATGCTTCCAGTAGGCTGTGTATGTGTGTACATTGCTAATTTTTCTTTTTTTCTTAAATTTTAAGGTGAGCCCTATACCGTGTCATGCTGTAGGGCCTTATTCTTGTAAGAGAGTTTGTGGACGAACCTTAAATTGTCAGAATCACACATGTATGAAAGAGTGTCACAAAGTAACTGAAACAGATTCCTGCACTGGCAAAAAAAAGGTAATGTCCTTGGATTGAATGTATACATGGTTATGGTATGCTTAAAACACTTTCTTTTAATAATCATGTCATAAATATTTTGCTGTAATTTCTCTCTCTCTCCTTGCCCTCATCCCTTCTCCTTCCGTGCTTTTCCTAAGACAACCAGCTGTGACACTTGGCGTATCTCTCTCTGTATCTTTGTGCTAGCTCATGATAACATGCCTTTTACTTTGGTACTCTTTGCATGCTATACCTGTGTTAATACATAGGATTTGATTTTATGATACAAGTACAGAAATTGTCCCTTTTAGACAGTTAGTAGTGGCAGTATCACGTCTACTGCTATCTGTTTGTATCTCAAAGTTTGGAGCATTTGCTCTCAGCTGTTTTTTAAACCTAAAATGGGTACTAGGTGATGTTCACGATTTTAATAAATTCTCTGTGGGCAGTAAATAACATCACAAATATGGGATATGTATAAATTGTGTGAGATGTACTAAAAACATTTTACAAGCATATGAGATATCAACCTTAAAAAAAGTCTAAAAATTGCCATTTTACATGGAAAAAGAAATGTAGCTAGTCAAATTTCAAATAATATAAAATTTTATTTTTAAAATAGTGTTTTTTCTTGGATTTCCATTTTGTAGGGAATCCTAATAATTCTAGCAGTGTGCTTAATAAGGAATAAGTCAAACATTTTTAAGCTTCATTTTATTACTAAGTAATGTTACAATAACAAATGTTAAAATTATTATATGAATTGTGTTATTGAAAATTTCACTTGCATTGTTAGATGTTTTGGTCTTTGATTTGGTCATTATAATACATGGCAACATAAATGTCCGTAGTATATTCTTTTTCATGTGTAAATATATATGTAACTTGTATTGCTTATAATTTCTTCATTGAGCCATATCTTGATCCTTAGTAAAAATATTGTCATGATAAAATGAGGAAGATACTGGACTTATAAAATCAAACTAATATATTGATTCAGAATCTCTTTAGAGAATAGCTGACGTATGATGGTATGGCCAGAATATCAACTGAGTCAGAAAAAACTCATTTAAAGAAGTGATATGATGGTGGGGAATTACAGTTACCTTGGATTACTTGACATGGCTTCCTGGGCAGTGAATTGCTCTGGCAAAATATGAGTTATAAGTTATGTGCAATTCTTCTCACTTTAGCTACAAGTTCATCCCTATCTCACATTCATGGAAGACTACTGCAGTGTATGTCAATGAAAATTATTTTGGAAGATAACTTTGTAATCATTCTAATTTATGTATAGAAAATTAAATAATTCAGAAACTTTTAAAATTCTTTACTGTAACATTTCGACTGAGTCTCCTATAGGTCCTGCTTTATCTTTTCTCAGTATATATGAAGATATTCTGTTACGTTCTTTATAGTCCCCTACTTAAATATAAATTCCTTGGCCAAGGACCCTGTCCAGTCTTGCATATTCCCAGTATATGGGACAATACCTGGCACATAATGCTGAATAAGTATTGATGGAATGAGTTAATATACATTTTTAAAAAAAGAAATTATAATGTTTGATAATTGAAACACTTTTTCTTTGTAATCCTGCATGTCAAAAGTAGCTTAGAATTTTAAAAAAGACATAGAGATGCTCAACAAAGTACCTCTCTGGTCTAGTAATTTAATAATTTAACTAATATGTATCTACTAAAGAACTGAATTTGTGTTGGTTATTATTCAGTCGTGTCTGACTCTGCAACCCCATGGACCGCAGCACGCCAGGCTTCCCAGTCCATCACCAACTCCTGGAGCTTGCTCAAACTCATGTCCATTGAGTCAGTGATGCCATTCAAACATCTCATCCTCTGTCCCTTTCTTCTCCTGCCTTCAGTTTTCCCCAGCATCAGGGTCTTTCCCAGTGAGTCAGCTCTTTGTATCACGTGGCCGAAGCATTGGAGCTTCAGCTTCGGTACCAGTCCTTCCAATGAATATTCAGGACAAATTTCATTTAGGATGAACTGGTTTGATATCCTTGCAGTCCAAGGGATTCTCAAGAGTCTTCTCCAACACTACAGTTCAAAAACACCAATTCTTCTACGCTCAGCCTTCTTTATAGTCCAACTCTCACATCCATATGTGACTACTGGAAAAAACATAGCTTTGACTATATAGACCTTTGTGGGCAAAGTAATGTCTCTGGCTTTTTAATATGCTGTCTAGGTTTATCATAGCTTTTCATCTAAGGAGCAAACGTCTTTTAATTTCATGGGTGCAGTTACCATCTGTGGTGGTTTTGGAGCCTAAGAAAATAGTCTGTCACTGATTCCATTGTTTCCCCATCTGTTTGCCATGAAGTGATGGGATCGGATGCCTTGATCTTAGTTTTTTGAATGTTGAGTTTTAAGCCAACTTTTTCATTCTCCTCTTTTATCAAGCGGCTCTTTAGTTCCTGTTCACTTTCTGCCATAAGGGTGGTGTATCTGCATATCTGAGATTATTGATATTTCTCCTGGCAGTCTTGATTCCAGCTTGTGCTTCATCCAGCCTGGCATTTCACGTGAATAAATGAGAGCAGTTGACATGGATACTAAGTTATGAGGGTTAAACATTATTGTTCCCAAGTTCAGCCATGATTACAAAAGAGGTACTTTGTTGAGCTACATTAAGGTTCATTTATTTATAAATGTAATTTAATCTTGGTTCACTGAAGTGCATTAAAAAATAGACTGCTAGTCTTTTTCTTTCGCTTCTATATGTGTTTCTCCTTGGCCAGATGCGATTAACATTCCTGAACATTGAATGCTTTGGTAATTTTTATTTGTTAACAGTGTGTTGATTTCTTTATTTAAATGATGGTCATACTTCTTGAGTGGAAATTGGTAAGCTTTTAAGCTGTTTCCCCCCCCACCCCCCACCCCCCCACCACTGACTAGGAAGTAATTTCCATTTTAGTAGGAAAGCTTCATGTAATCAAGTCCATTTTAAAGGGGAAGCAGTTTGATCAGATGAGATTGGTAGACAAAAATCTTTGTGAGTAATGGTCCCATTGATAATCTTGCTGTTATTCATTTGAATATTTTTAGAAGAGTGAAAGCATAGCACCATTTTATTAACTGAATTTCTGAGAGTTGCAGAGGTACTTTCTTTTAATGAGATACAAATTTTATAGCTTTAGCTGTATAGAAATGTTCGATCTCTATTTCACTGATTTATTTCCTTGGTACTTGCCAGGCTGGCCCAGAATGCCTTCGCTGTGAGGAAGGGTGCTCTAAGTCACGGCCGTCAGGGTGTCCTCACCCGTGTGTCCTGCCGTGTCACCCTGGAGAGTGCCCTCCATGTGCTCAGATGCTCAGGATAAAATGTCACTGCAAGATCACAAGTCTTTATGTGGAATGTAGGTGAGTAGTCTGAAGAAATATTCTTGTTTCACCAGCCATTTTAACTGTTTATCTTTTTTGTAATTCAGAACCTTTTATAGAATACTTTCAGGAATATTTTTCAGTGTGGTCCTTAGAGGCTGAAGGCCTCAATTTTCTGGTAGAGATCTGGAGGGAAGAAATGTAGGCTGTTTCACCTTCCAGATACTCCCATTTTAACCAGGGAAATTCTCTTTTTTCCATTTGGGTATTTCATGTAAGATTTTGTTAGGAAAAAATTTGCTTTTAGAAAAACAGCAGAAGCACTCCTATACCAGATTGTTCAAATACCAGTGTCAGCTAGGATTTTTGGTTCAAAGTTGACTTGTACATAGTTATTTAGGCACAAATTTTAAATCACAGATTTAAAAGGTAGGCTTTTGTTTATTGCAGATGTTACTGTTATGGCAATTACCATACTAGGATATGACTTCCATATTTTCCTTACTTAAAAATGGAAGTTTTTGCTTGTGGATTATGTGGAGGGAAAGTTTTTTTCATTTTTTTTCTATTTAATCATGATCTGACATAATTAACCCATCTGTAAAGTGGAATTTTTGTAAGTATATTTTACTCAGATGAAATTTGGGAATATGAGTTTATTTCTGACTGTTTGGACCATACTTTCAGAAAAATGGTAATCAGTTTAGTTGCTCAGTCATCTCCAACTCTTTGTGATCCCATGGACTGCAGCACGCCAGGCTTCCCTGTCCATCACCAACTCTTGGAGCTTGCTCAAACTCACGTCCATCAAGTCAGTGATGCCATCCAACCATCTCATCCTCTGTTGTCCCCTTCTCCTCCTGTCTTCAATCTTTCCCAGCATCAGGGTCTTTTCTAATGAGTCAGTTGTTCATATCAGGTGGCCAAAGTAAATGCTAATAGTATCTTAAAAATATTTTTGTCACTTGTACTCTGCTGCTGCTAAGTCGCTTCAGTCGTGTCCAACTCTGTGCAGCCCCAGAGATGGCAGCCCACCAGGCTCCTTTGTCCCTGGGATTCTCTAGGCAAGAATACTGGAGTGGGTTGCCATTTCCTTCTCCAATGCATGCATGCATGCTAAGTCGCTTCAGTTGTGTCCGATTTTGTGCGACCCCATGGACAGCAGCCCTCCAGGCTCCTCTGTCCACAGGATTCTCCAAGCAGGAATACTGGAGTGGGTTGCCATTTCCTTCTCCAATGCATGCATGCATGCTAAGTCGCTTCAGTTGTGTCCGAATCCGTGCGACCCCATGGACAGCAGCCCTCCAGGCTCCTCTGTCCACAGGATTCTCCAAGCAGGAATACTGGAGTGGGTTGCCATTTCCTTCTCCCACTTATACTCTAGACTCATGGTTTAAATTGGGAAGTCAGATTTTATTCTTTTTAAATATTAAAATTCTGTTGAAATTAAAAAATTACAATTTTTAGTTTTAGAAATTTTGTAAGAAGAGTTAAGAGGACAATTTTGCTTTATTAATGAGTGTTACTGATGAAAAGAGGCTGTTTTCTTTTTTCCTTTTTTGAGACTGTGCCCTCTGTGAATCTTAGTTCCTCAACCAGGGATTGAACCCATGCCCCTTGTAGTGGAAGCATGGAATCTTAATCACTGGACTGCCAGGAATGTCGCAAGAGTTTGTTTTCTTTGGTCTTGCAGTGTCCTAAATTTGCCCCTCTTGCTTCTTTTTCCTTTGTCATGTGGTCTCCAAAGGACACCTTTTCCTTTTACCTTCTTCCACAAAGCATTGCCTTTCTAACACTGGCTTCTTGATTCTTGCATACTTTTTAGAAGCGTCTTCTCTTGCTTTGTTTCACCAGGACTTTTTCAGTGTTTCACATTTGTGGTGGATTTTTCTTCCTGGTGCAGCGTTAGCTCAGTCCCTGTCTTCTCCTGCCTCTCATTTCTCCAGAACTCTGCCAAGCTGTCTGCAAAGATTTGTTACGGGAGCTTAAGAAACAGCTCTGCCAGGATTTGGTGTTTAATTTGTCTACTTACAGGTCATTTGCAATTTGTAGAAATTTCTGTCTTCTGGTTTTGCTGATGTCATGAAATTTCAGTGATTCTGTTTGTTATTAATGAGCTGAATGATTTTGGGTAGAAATGTTTGGAGGTAGATGGATTGAAGTGGTTTCCATTACCACAACTACAGAGTTCTTTTTTCCTTTTCTTGAATCCATGTTTTTATACAGAATTCTTCAGTCTCAGTATTTTTTCTGATAATTTCATTTACTTTCCATTTCATAAGTCATCTTTTCCTTTTAGTCATTTTCTGCTTCATGTACTTTCTTCTATAGAAATTAGTTATAAAAGATACAGGCCTTGAAAAACTTGTTCCTAATTATAGAGAAACAGGAACAAAATAATATTACCTCTTAAATTCAGAGGGGAGCACTTTACCTGTAAGAATGAAAATATAGAGCCAGTATGAAAACTTTAGTTATAGAGCCAGTATGAAAACTATGTTATTATTACATGAAACTTTGTCAAGAAAATTGCCTGTGTTATCTAGGGTACAGTTTTTTAGCTAATTTGATACAGATACTTAAGATAATAGTTTTAACATTAATGAGGCTAAACTTAAGGTGTATTTTAGCAATTATGTCTAGTGAAAGGAATAGGAAAAGAAAGAATAAAGGAAAAGAGAGGAAAGGTAACAGTGAAGAGAAAAGTGAGATGTGTATGATGGGCATTTTTAGATTGTCATTGGTTACTAACTCATGTATCTCTTCAGCTCTTTGTTAGAAAGTGGTTTTATTCATTGATGTTTGTGACTTCAGAGTTACCCCCTGAATCAGATATAAAAGCACAGACTGATTTCAAGTGAACTGATATAAAATAAATCGTTTTCTAACGTTAATAAATAGCTTAATCCAGAATCAACTGAAAAAAAATTTTTCTGATAAGCTTATTGCATTGCTGTTTGAAATTGTGAGCTGTTTTTAGAAAAACCATACAGTAAAATGGACTTTGCTTTGACTGTCATCAACACTTCCTCTCATCTTTTTAGAAAAATAACCACAGCTGATGTAAGTGAAAAGAATCTCTTGAGTTGTTGTAAAAATCAGTGTCCTAAAGAGGTAAGATTTAATACAACTTTTTTACATTGTATTTCTTGGGCATTGTTTCTCTTTTGTTGTTTGTTCATCTTATTTTAGGTCTTTTCTGGACCCACTAGATATGTGGGCCCAGAAAGCAAAATGTGATTGATGCATGTAGAAACTTGTAGCTCGGGTAGATGCACATCCCTTTGTAATATTTTGGGATAGTAGGAGCAGGAATGACCCTTTGAATATTTTTTTTTTTATGACCTAATGTTTTCCCATCTTGAAATATAAGTAGATTAGAAACTGTGTGGCTCATGGGCAGTTGGACAGTAAATCCACAGTAGAGAACACAGATCGTGCATGTGTGTGTGTAAACCTTAAAGCTCATTATTTGAATTAGTATAAAGCATTCATATATGAAGTTATGCTTTTAGAGATTATAATGCTGGTACATGCATTGTTTTCAAGCTAAAAGTATCGAAAGTAGTTCAGAAAAATTGTTCAGAGTTAAAAGGTAAAAACTCACTGGGAATTTATCCCGGCAGTAATTTTGAGAAACCAAAGCAGTCTGTCTCTGTTTGACCAACACAAAAGTTAAGACAGTCCTTTTTTGATCGTTGGAGTAGGGAAGTGACAGCTATTTGATTTATAAAGGAATTCTTTTTACTTGTAAGTGTACTAGTAGCACCTCTTTTCTGTAATTCTTTGTATTTCTATACTTACCTAAGTGTTTCTTATCCTATTTAGAATCAGGAGGAGATGACAGCAAAGTCATAACTATAGTAGTCTGTCTCTTAGATTAAAGAAAAAACAAGTCAACGTAGGATATGCCTTTTTATTAACAGTATTTTCCTTTTAACTAAAACTTTGGACACATTTGTGGGTTTTTGTTTAAGAACTATTGAAAATTGAACCTGGGAATTTTAAAAGTTACATGAGATTATAAAAGAGAGAAATTTCAAGCAATACATGCTATTTTAATAATCCTGCCTTTCTTACATAAGTGAAACTACAGACGTGGGATATTTCAAATTTAATTTTCTGAATTCTTCAAATTCTGAGTTTCCCCTTGTTAAAATAAGTTTTCTTCTGTTCAGATTCAAGTTTCAGGTAATAAGTAGTTGAGGATGTTTTATTTTCAATCTGACAGCAGCAATTTGGGATGAGATTGCTGTCAGAAATAAATGCTCACTTCAGGGATCACTGATTTGCAGTTTAGCATTGCCGTGGCCATGATTTGTCTGGTCCTGCTATGCCATTTGGGTGGCACTGGGGCTGAGTGTGCACTATTTACTTAGAGATTTTTCCCATGCTCATCGTGTTTTAATTCTAGGACATTCTGGAGCCCCTGGTATTGCTAGTGTCTCCTTGGACTTTTTTGAAAAATATATCCTTACGTTGGGAACAGTCCACATGGTTATTAAGGTTTAGAACAGTCTCGGGGTAGACAGGTGAACATTATTATGTCTAATAGAATTCAATCTAGTTTATGTTCTGATAAGGCTACAGCAGTGGTTTTCAAACTCTGATGTGCATCAGAATCATTATAAGCACTTGTTAAAACAGGTTAATGGGCCCCACGCCAGAGTTCCTGATTTTGTGGGCCTCGAGTGGAGGTCCAGGAATTTGCATTTATAATAAACTCTTACATAAGCGTGATAATATTGGTGGCACAGTTTGAGAACCAGTAGACTATGATGGTATCAACCAAGAACTGTCTTTCTAAACTTGCCACAGATATCTTAGACTCAGACTTAAGATATAGGATTATGACAAATTCTGATGCATTGATAAATTCCTGTTTGCTTTCTCTTCCCCTTATCACACTATAGATTTCCTGCAGGTAGCGACTATGTCATATTTGTCTTTGTATCCAGTCCCTGGTTGTACCTGTTAGGTAGTTGGTAAATGTCTATTGAGTGTGAGTGTAAGAGTGAACTGTGGAGATGGCATAAGTGTGTTCTAGTTACATTGTTTCTCTGATATACATGCCACGTGTCTAATGGATTGTTCAGTTAAGTTTGAATTAAACAAAGGAAATATATAAAGATAGTGTGAAGAACTGAACCTTTATTTAAACCATGCCTTGTATATACAATTCTACTTTTAAAAATCATGTCTGCATTTGGTTTTATCATTCCCATGCAAGCTTTTCTGTTTTTTTACTTGGACGCATTATTTAATGTCTCTGTATATCAGATTGTTCATGTGTAAAATGGAGGCAGTAGCAACACTCATTTCAGAGTGCTGAATATTAAGTGAGTCAGCAACAGGTAAAGATCTTAGTATATGGTAAATGCTGTGGATGTCTCAGCTATGGTGATGATGATATGGATATTTACCCATAAATAATATTGATATGCAAACTTTCTTTAATTTTTTTAAAGCTTTTTTTAAAGAGCTTTTAAAATTCTTGGGATTAAAATGAGACATTCTGAACTAGACAATATTGCTTGTTGGTAAGCCATTTATTTTGACTTACCAAAGTGCTAGCGGAATGATATTAAGGGCTGAGTAGAGTCTGTGGGGTTGCACAGAGTCAGACATGACTGAAGGCACTTAGCAGCAGCAGCAGAGTAGAGGGGACCATCTCACTTTGAATGGGACGGGTAGGATATCTCATCTTTAGATGAAAACCAGGGTTAGATGTTTTTTTAAAATGTCTTTTTTTTTTTTTTTTGCTGTGAAATCTGTAATGAAGAGACAGGCATTGTATATATTTTACATTCCAAGCAGTTTTCTTTGGGACTACTTTTCTGCCCTTTCAGAGTATAATCTGGCTTTTGAGATTATACATGCCTGCATATCTAACAGGGAAATGGTTATGTGATTTGATTTTTTAAATAATGAAATGATTACATACTCAACAGTGCATAGAACATACATGTACAGTATAAAAAATGACTAAAAACTGAACATCATGTAACTCCACCTAGGTCAAAAAATATAGCATCTTAGAAGTCTAACAAAGTTCCTTTCTCCCCAGCACACTGAAGAGACAGAATAATGATCAGTGAGAGACCACACTGTAGCCATGAGTCTATGTAATTTCAAAAAGATCTCCCCTTACTGATTCTGGTATGTTTCCCTACTCACGTTCCACTTCAGAATCACTGATTTAAAGTGGAGTGATTAATTACTTTCAGAGAAGATGACTGATGTAATTACATCTGAGATTAAGGAAAGAATAAGATGCTGTAAAGACATTTTGAAGGGAAAAAAGGGTAGGTTGTGAGCTAATGTCAAGTGTTTGTCTTTGTTTATGAAGATAGGCTAGAGGCACTGGCAGGAATGAAGGTGAGAGGGAGGTGAGGGAGTCCTTGAAACAAATAATCTGAGACAGGTGTTTGATAGTGAATAAATATTGCTCTTGTTAAGTTGTATTGAGGGCCTAGTATTAGGTGTAGAGGAGAACAAGACTGAAGTGGCCCAGGAATGCCTAGTGTGGAACTCATTCTAGTAGGTAGCATTGCACTATGCTAGGATTAGTGAAAATGCAGTGTGAATGATCCAAATTTAGTTTTGGTATGAATGTCTCATCTAAAAATTAAAAAAATTTGAAAGCTGGTTGCATACTCGAGAGAGACTAAAGACAATGGAAAAGGGTTCTGAATTTCTTAAAGTGGGTGGTAGAGTCAGTAATTTGAAAGATCAGTCTGGTGAATCATAAAGACTAGAATTTGGAGAATTCAGATATTTATTGAGGTGTCCACTATTTGTAAATATCTTTGTTAATGCATATGAGAGACAAAAAGAAATAAAACCCTGCTCTTAACTAATTTGCAACAATAACCTTTATTATGATAGCTAAATATATTAAGCCCATCTAATCCTCACAACAGCTTTATAAAGTTTTATTACTGTCCCATTTTTAGATGTGAAGCACAGAAAAGTCAGGTGACTTACCCAAGGTCCCATAGCTAGTCAACAGGGCATCTGGGATTCACTTGTAGGCAGTATGATTTTGAAATTTAACCCCTAGCCAGTGGGTGTCTTTTATATTCTGGTTGCAGAGACAGGAATGTATGTTTTTAAAAATGTTTAAAAATGTTTTTTAAGTTGAAAATAATACAGGTTTTGTCACAACAGTTTAGAAATAGATTATTATTGTTTTTCAAATGTAGGCAAACTCATGCCATGCTTTAATGATGATATAAGCTGTATTTTGACGTTTGTATAAGATTTGAATAGGAATAAGAAGAGAACCCTTTCATTTGAAAGCTTGACTGAGATAAGAAAACAGTATATAAAGTCAAGGAACACATAGACGACACAGCAATTCCTGAGTTGGTTTGGCTACCTATTTGGTATATTTTAATACAGAGTGGCAAGCCTTTTAGAGTAAAAGGCTAAGCACAAGGAAATTTTCCTCCTCACATAACAGTGAAAGGGAAGGTAGAGGTGTCCTGTGCTCCATGGGACCCAAGTTAGCAGGGCAGCTCTGTTCTCTGACTCATGGGATCCTCGTTGTTCTGCTGCTGCTGCTGCTGCTAAGTCGCCTCAGCTTCAGTCGTGTCCGACTCTGTGCAGCCCCATAGACGGCAGCCCACCAGGCTCCCCCATCCTTGGGATTCTCCAGGCAAGAACACTGGAGTGGGCTGCCATTTCCTTCTCCAGTGCATGAAAGTGAAAAGTGAAAGTGAAGTCGCTCAGTCGTGTCCGACTCTTGGTGACCCCATGGACTGCAGCCCACCAGGCTCCTCCGTCCATGGGATTTTCCAGGCTAGAGTACTGCAGTGGGGTGCCATTGCCTTCTCTGCCTCGTTGCTCTAGATATCCTCATTACCAGCGCATTGGGAAGGAAAGAGCATAGACCTGTGCTCTTAAAAGCTTTAAGGCATGGAGGCGCTCTTGATTACATTCCATTGGCCAGAACTTAGTGACAGGGCTATAACTAGCCTCAGGAGTGATGTAAGGTGTACTCTTGGAGTGGAACCAGGGAGAATATTGAACATTTCTGGGAATTAAGATTATTTATATCTAAAAGAAAAAAATGATAAACTTAGCCAGTTGTCCAAGATTTATTGACCCTATTGTAATGGACTTTTTCTTAAAATAGTTGTTGGGGGAAAGGGGAAGTAGAGTATGACTATAAATATGTAATTGTTTTATTTTGGTTTTATTTTAGCTTCCTTGTGGTCATAGATGCAAAGAAATGTGTCATCCTGGTGAATGCCCCTTTAATTGTAACCAAAAGGTAAAACTTAGATGTCCTTGTAAAAGAATAAAAAAGGTAAATATTTTAAGTTATTAAAACTTCTTTTCTATGTACATTTTTGTTGATTTCTTTTTTTTTTTTTGGTGGGGAGAGTGTGTTTTGGTAGTTCTTTGACTTTAATTTTTTGCCTTTTTAATTTTAAGCTCTTATTTCTTAAGAGTTTTTTCATTATTGGCCTATCAATTTCTGTAAATGTTTATTTTAAAAATCATCATTGTTTGGCAGCTTAGTTTTCTGCAGTTTCATAGTTAAAGAGGATTATTTTATATTGGAACTGAGTTCAGTGCTGTTCTTTGGACAGAATCCATATTCTAGATTTGAGGTCTCCACATAAGTGACAGGGTAAGAAATGAAGTGAGTTTCATGATTTAAGAAATGGTCTGGAATTAACCTTTGTTGCTCTTACTTACAGAAGTTTTTTATATTCAGTAGTCTGTTGTGAAAATGTTACCTTAAAAAGACCTCACATACTCAGCCTTATAAAATTATAAAATGACATTCAAATTTGCTAATTTTAAGATAAAGTTACGGTTAAAATGGAAAAAAAAAAGATAAAAGTTATGGTCATGGAGGAGTGAAAGGGCAAAAGCTAATGATTGGAAAGCTCAGTGGTAGCAAACTGCATACCGTTTGGCAAAACTTAGAAAGGACTCAGGTCAGTTCTCCTTTCCTTGACTTCCCTGTTTACACTGTGGACTCTTCGGAAGATTTTTCTTTACTTCTGATTTTCCTTTTCTCAGTTATAGTTGTAACTCCTTGTTTTCTTCACATTCTTACGGTTGTTCACTAAAGCTACTCTTTCAGTTTACTCATTTACTCATCTATTCAGCAAATATTTATTGAAAATCTTTTGCTTTTATTGAGGACCTTTGCTTTTCTTCTGCTTTTACAGCTCCAACTATCATTTCCTGGGATGGTTAATTTCTGAATTTAAATTTATAGGCCTAAGTTTTTCTGGAGTTGGATCCCTAAGTTTTAGGTTTTTAAATGGATCACCTGTATATGAAAATCAATACTCAGTCAAATCACTTTTAATCTGAAATGTTTCTCAGGTTTTCTATCAAACCTCATCTTACTATCCAAGTGCAGTTTGCCACCCCTTAGAACTGGCAACGGCTTATTCTCAGACTTTGAAAACACCTTCATAGCAGATTTCCATGCCTCTAATATAATATTTCCAACCCAAGTCCTTCACTGTTTCTTCATTACTTGGGGAAAAAACAAGCATTTTATGAGGTTATACATATACAGAATTATGGCATAGGAGGGGACTCGATCTTTGCCGGCTTGTCCAGTCAGATCACCTGCTAGTCCTTTCTGTGGTTTACCTCCTAAGTGCACTAACACATCGGCTATACTCCGCTTTAATGTGCGATACTGTTTATGCTCCTTCTGTGTAGCATATAAGTTTCTTCCCTTTACTGCCCCATTTTGTAGGGTCCTGTCTGTACTTGGTGCATAGTGCATATGCTTAGTGTTTATGCTTATTTCGTGGTTTGGGAAGGTTTTCTTTCCTTCTGCCTCCTTCTGAAAGGACTTAGGTGCTCCTTCCTCTTGACTTCCTTTATACTTTGTGCCAGGTTCATGACCAAGAGCTTTGTGACTCTAGGGATGTGTGTAACCTTGTTTACATAGACTTATTGAAAGGAGTAAAAGAGATAATGCTTACATAGCATTTAGCACCATGACTACACTATGTTTAATAAGTAGCAGCTGCTATTATTATTATTATTAGTTTAGCATTTACCATATTAATTTTTTCCTTATTGTATCCCCTGTCCCTAATGCAGTGCTTGGCATGTAATAGGTACTTTATAAGTACCTTTCGAATGAGAAAAGATACAGTGATCTTTTTTCCAGACTGATAGACTCAATATCCACTAACATGCAGTATTTATTTTTGTCTTTAATGTTTGTCCATGTTATTTTTCCTTTGGACTATCATTGGATGACAGGACTCACCAACCTCAGCCAAAATTCTGTGCTGTAAAGTCCTTTCATTACAGTGTATACCCTTTGCTCAGGATTTGATGATCTCATTTCCTTACTCTGGTAGATTTGAACTGAAAAACTAGTTCCTGAGGGTGTGGTGAGAAAGGAGCAACTTGGTACCACTTACAGCAAAAATGACATCTGGCAGCAAGAAATATGGAATGAATAAAGGGCAGACAAAAGATCTACAGAAGCAAACTTTAGACTATTTAAAATAAAGACCACTTATTTTATTACAGTTCAGTCGCTCAGTCGTGTCCAACTCCTTGCTACCCCATGAACCACAGCACACCAGGCCTCCCTGTCCATCACCAACTCCCGGAGTCTATCCAAACCCATATCCATTGAGTCGGTGATGCCATCCAACCATCTCACCCTCTTTCGTCCCCATCTGCTCCTGTCCTCAATCTTTCCCAGCATCAGGGTCTTTCTAAATGAGTCAGCTCTTCGCATCAGGTGGCCAAAGTACTGGAGTTTCAGCTTCAACGGCAGTCCTTCCAATGAACACCCAGGACTGATCTCCCTTAGGATGGACTGGTTGGATCTCCTTGCAGTCCAAAGGACTGTCAAGAGTCTTCTCCAACACCACACTTCAAAAGCATCAATTCTTCTGCACTCAGCTTTCTTTATAGTCCAACTGTCAGATTCATACATGACCACTGGAAAAACCATATCTTTGACTAGACGGACCTTTGTTGACATAGTAATGTCTCTGCTTTTTAATATGCTGTCTAGGTTGGTCATAACTTTCCTTCAAAGGAGTAAGCGTCTTTTTATTTCATGGCTGCAGTCACCATCTGCAGTGATTTTGGAGCCCAGGAAAATAAAGTCAGCCACTGTTTCCCCATCTATTTGCCATGTTGTGATGGGACCGGATGCCATGATCTTAGTTTTCTGAATGTTGAGTTTTAAGCCAACTTTTTCACTCTCCTCTTTCACTTTCATCAAGAGGCTTTTTAGTTCCTCTCCACTTTCTCCCATAAGGGTGGTGTCATCTGCATATCTGAGGTTGTTGCTATTTCTCCTGGCAATCTTGATTCCAGCTTGTGCTTCATCCAGCTCAGTGTTTCTCATGATGTACTCTGCATAGAAGTTAAATAAGCAGGGTGACAATATACAGCCTTGACGTACTCCTTTTCCTATTTGGAACCAGTCTGTTGTTCCATGTCCAGCTGTAACTGTTGCTTCCTGACCTGCATACAGGTTTCTCAAGAGGCAGGTCAGGTGGTCTGGTATTCCCATCTCTTTCAGAATTTTCCAGTTTATTGTGATCCACACAGTCAAAGGCTTTGGCATAGTCAGTAAAGCAGAAATAGATGTTTTTATGGAACTCTGTTGTTTTTTCGATGATCCAGCGCCCATTGGCAATTTTTGATCTCTGGTTCCTCTGCCTTTTCTAAAACCAGCTTGAACATCTGGAGGTTCATGGTTCAGGTATTGCTGAAGCCTGGCTTAGAGAATTTTAAGCATCACTTTACTAGTATACAAATTGATTATAGTCTTAATGTCACCACATCAATAGAAGTATATTTTTTATTATTTCATTAAGGATTCAGTGAAGTACAGAAATAAGGTTTAGAATGATTTTCACCTCAGCTTTTTTTGAAAAGATAAATGATTGAGAGAAAAACTTGTAGCTCTCCGAAAGACTCTAGAGCCACACTGTGGTGACAGCCACCAGTCACTTATGGCAATTTAAATTAGAATTTTAATGATTAACATTAAATAATATGTGACATGACACTCAGTTCCTTGGTTTCAGTACACTTTGAGTACTCAGGCACCACGTGTGGGAAGCACTACCCTTGTGAATATAGAACATTTCCATTGCCTTGGCTAGCTGTGTTGGATGGCACTACTCACCTCCCTGGAGGCTTCAGAAGAGTAATAGGAAGCGATGAAGAGAAATGAAGAATAAAAATGAAATAATAGGCATAATCTTAAGCTGCTAGAGAAATTTTGCTTTTTTTTTTGGCATGCAGTTACTACAACTTTGAGGGAAATCTTTTAAAGTAAAATTTTTAAAAATTTTATTTATAGGAAGTGCAGTGCAACAAAGTACGTGGAAATCAGATTTCCATAGACTGTGACACAACATGCAAAGAGATGAAGCAGAAAGCATCTGAGGTAGCGTTACGCTAAGCGTCATTTTAATGTGTCAGTGGCCTTATTTATGTTGCTTATTAATTTGTGTGCTTATTATGAAGAACTTGAAATCTCATCCTTTTTTGTTTTTGAGATAAAAGCCTAGTGTGTAGGCCTATTTTAAAACTCTCAGATGTGCTGGTGTGTACTAGATTTTCCCGTACTCTGTACCAGTTAGTGGATGTACTCTGGAACATAGTTACTCATCTTAATGTTAGTTTAAGTTTCCTGAAAATTATGTTAAAATAATACAAAAATAAAATTTTAGGATTCTTTGCTGTTTGGGTTACTTTTAGTGTCACTATTGCCCTCCATTAATCCAATCAGTGAATAAACTTTTGGTTTTGTTTGAAATTAAAGATTCCCTTCCAGAGAGGGCGTTTTAGGAAAATGGTCAATTTCATCTCTAGGCAAACAGTAATATTTAATAATTGATTATAATCTTAATATGGTAACTTAAGAGTAAAAGTCCAGTTTTAAAAGTATTTCAGTTTACAGTGTTGTAACTCTGTGAATTATGATCTAGTATCTTATAGTTGTTCAGCTGAATAAGATATAGCACTCTACTGCCCCTCACACTCTATTAGATAGTACCCTAGTAACACTTCTCAGTGTATAACATTTATGGTTCTTTAAATAATTCTCAGTATCAAGCACCCAGAAGTTGTTATAGGTTAGTGGAGCCTGGGAGGAAAGATGTTAAAATTCTGTGTAAAATTTGGTGATTACGATGTTAATTTAGTTTTAAATGTCTATAAACAGTTAAAAGAAGCAGAAGCCAAAGCTGCCCTTGAAGAGGAAAAACGAAGACAACAGGTAACAGAAAACACCCAAACTTAGGTCTTTTTGCATAATTGTTAGTTTTTATGCAAATACAAGATACGTGGAAACATACAAACATAACATATAAACTAGGTCAGCTAAATGCTGGACTGAAACATAGTTCCTTGTAAAAACAAAAATTATTTGTTTGTTTCAGTCCAGGTATCCTGAACCCCTTAAGGAAGCATGGGACCTTTTGTGTGCCCAGATATTCTGTGTATTTTGTGTATTCCCAATTACTTCCTTGCCGATTTCATCCATTCTCCAGAGATAACTCCTCTTGGTTTGAGTGACGGGGGTTCAGGACATGGCAGCATCTGTTTTAAGGCATCCCCTGGAGTTCACATCTTCACTCATCTTACTGAGTTGTAGGTTGTCTGTGACAGATGAGTGCTATTTACTAACCAATACATTTGTTTTAATAATACACCTCCTTATTTCCTCATTAGACTCTTGAATGCATTCAAGAATTCTTGAATTTTTATCTGCAGTCAAGATAAAATGTGTTACCTAGATAACAAGTACATTCTTATACCTCCTATTTGCTCAGATACTATATTTATTGATCATATATTCCAAAGAGTGGCTTAACTTTTTCCTAGTGACATGTAATTTTTTGTCAGTTTGCATTTTGAGATCCTTCAGTGCTTAGCAAGCAGTGTACATTGTATGTAAACTACCACCATTATGAATGAAGAAACTGAAATTTGCATGTCTTGAGAGAGGGCATTAAAAACAACTCATGTAGCAAGGTGGGATAAAATAACCTCATGTTTTATGTTCTGTAAAATTGATTTGCCTAATATCAAAAAATAAATTATCAGAGCTAATGCAATAAAACATGGGTTGACTGGAATCCTGGAGATTATTAATAATAGTCTAGGGTGTCCCTTCCCCTTTTTATAAGGCATTATGGAAAGAAATCTTAAAGATAGTATATTTAAAGGCAGTCTATTTACTGCCTTTTAAACAGTGTATAGAACATAAACCACTTTTGACAACTGTGAGTCATCAGTTATGCATTAGTTATTTTACTGTATCAGTGGTTCTCAAGTTTGAATGCTTTTAATATATTCTGACCTTTTGCGGTATATCACAACCACTTGAGAATATTTTGATATTTTGGTTCATTGAAGAATGTCACTTTGTGTTAAATTAAGTATTGAATATATGTTAGGTCTTCAGATGTGGTTTATGAGCAAAGTTATGGATATGTTAACTGAAGTTTCTATTTCCTTCTTTTAAATGAACATTTACAGAATTTTTCATGAATATTACATATATGTTAATAAGTACCAGGCTTTAGTTAATAACAATGCAGTGTATCATATTATATTGTCATGCATTAAAGCTTAACAAGTAAGTTCTTTACAGTAGACTAAAAATCTACACTTTATAATAAGTGTCATCTAGGTATCCTTTTTTTAAAGTTATTTTTTAGAATGAGTTTTTATATAATTCTACTTTCTAAAGGAGTCATTTTGGTTTACAGTATGAAGCATTTTTCCCCTGAAGAATTTTTACTTTGTTTTTAAACGTATTTGATTGAGAGGAATCAATTTCTAGCAGCTTTTTCTCTTCACTCTCTTGAATTTCTTCCATACAAGTCATTAATATTTGTTACAAGCATTGTGTAAAACTAGAATTATAGGTATCTTTATCCTAATGGGTCATCTGTTTGCACTTGCTGTAAGCTCTGTATTATAGAGCCCCATTAACTACAGGTTAACAGTGCCATACAAAACGAATGTCTATATTTTAAATCAGATGTTTCTATATTTAGTATCAAAAGCAGGCCATCAGTCTGAAATAGTCTCTTAAACCACTCTCTGGTTCCAGTTCTTCTTACCTCAACTCTGAATTTGTTGAATATGGTCAGTAGTGGAAAGATAGTATTTTTTAAAAAATCAAATCTGTGTATTAATTATATACCATTACTATTAAAACATTTCCCCAATTTATTTTTGTCTGAGTGGAAAAACTAAGTCAATGTGTGTATTGAATTTAATAAAAACAATACTGTTTTGATTTAGGCTGAACTGGAAGCTTTTGAAAACAGACTGAAGGGTCGTCGGAAGAAGAACAGGAAGAGAGATGAAGTGGCAGTTGAGCTAACCCTATGGCAGAAATATAAATATTACCTCTTTCCACTGTGTGCAATTGTGGTAGTAGTGTTTGCATGGTACATAGCCCAGGCTATGGATTAGAAAATGTTTGACTTGTTAATATACCTCAGATTAGATTTAGGTAATTATTAAATTTGAAATATTAGAAAGCAGATGTTGTAGAACACAGTATATATTCACATTCATCTCTGTATTCTCTTTGAACTCTTGTTAGAAGGATAGAATGTTAAGCTTTACCTTAATTAGCATCCTCAAAGTGGCACTGTAACAGTATTTAATAGTGAAAGCATGGCTGACATTGTAAAGTATCTCAGAAGGCATAGACAGTGGCAAGGTAACATGTCGGTTGTTTGTTGTGCTTCCTTGTATTAACATACCTATGTCATTTACTGTTTCAAGCCATCTTTTTCTTTTTGGGCAAAATTAAGATGAAACTGAGCCATATGTGTAATTAGAGGAATATTTCACAATGTTGTGGTTACTTATTAAAAGGTACTTTTCCTGATCATGTAACTTTGTACTTTTTAAAAAATATATATTCTCTAAATGACCTCTTAAATTATAACATGAAGCCATATGATTAGACTCCAGAAGTTGGTTTATTAGTGAGGAATTTTTATCAGTTATTAAAATTTTATGTAGTATGTTCCTCAGAGGAAAATGTAATTGTTCTAAAAAAATGCTAGGCTAGAATCCTTACATGTGGTTATTTCTCATGTAAGAAGCTTTTACCTGAAGTTGGCATGTCCTGTAAAACTTTTATGTGTTTTTCTCAAAGTAATAATAAAAGAAAAACTAATATTTATGAGCAAAATATGCTGAGCACAGGCTTATAAGCTTTATGTATGTTATTCTGATTTCTTCTTACCACAGTCCTATTGGTAGATTTTTTTTTCAGCTGGAAATAATCAATTCTTTTGAAAACAAACAGATAGAGAAGTATGAATAAGCTGAATCTCTTTGAATTGTAAGTCATTTTAAATGGTTTTTATATTTAATTTTTTACGATTAATGTTTTCATTAAAATTTTTCATACCAAATTTTTAATGTAGAATATTTACTATTTAAACATTCAGGAGCCTATAATTTTATCAATGTATAAAACTCTAATGCTTGTTGTAAAACATAGTAATCGACAGGTAGTACTAAAAAGTGGTGGAAGTACTAAGAAGGATTTTAAAATTTTGCTTCCTTTAACTCAGTTTGTTTAATGTTATGTTCCTTAGTCAAGTATTAGCTGGTGTCTAAAGATGGAAGGCAGTCATTCCTTTCTTTATTGTATTTTTGTTTTAATTTTAGATTTCTTTTTTATCTTTCCCAATGTTAGAGTTACTGGGTTGGTGTTTTAGAAGCTCTAAATCGGAGCTCTTACAATCAAGTCATTACCTTACTGTAATCTAAAATGAATATTAATTAAATGATTAGTTGTCCACATTGGAAGCTCTTTTCATGTATTTCAAGATCTTGGCCTAATAAACAGACTTGAAGATTAGTTCACGTCTGTTTGTTGGGTTTCTGTTCTTGCTAAGTTTTCTTTCCAAGTTTTGCAGAAGAATTTAGTGAGCAGAAGACTGAGTGAATAACACAGTTTGCTGTTTTTTATTTGCTTGGCTAGTAGCTCAGAGCTTAATTAACCCAGAGTTAAACAACTGTGCATTCATTTATTCAATCAACAGATGCCTTTACTGTGTGATGGGTACTTTTTAGGTACTGGAAATAATGGCAGTCCTTTCAGGGACCTGCTAAAGAGTGGAAGAAAGCAGGCAGGAAATAGATACACAATAAAATGAATGTGATTTCATGTACAGTAAGCAGTATTAAAAGATGAGAGAAATGTTACAGAAAGTGATGGGGGTGGGGATGGGGAGCATGTTAAGGCACTAACTACTTATATTGAAAAAGTCCCTCTGAGGTGGGGACATTTGAGTTGTGACCTGAATGACCTTCATTTGATGTTCTGAGGGAAAAGTCTGTGAGTGAGAGAAAGCAGCAAGGAGAAAGTCATTAAGTTGGGAGATGCTTGGCCTGGCCGAGGAATCGGTGGAAGAGCCAGTGTGTCTGGAGCTCAGTGAGTGACAGGGAAAGAGGATCAAGGGCCAGTTCGTAGCATGGTTGATAGACCCTGGTGTGGAATTGGAGTTTATTTCTAGTAGTGGGCAGCCATTGGTGGTTTTAAGTGGGGAATAATTATTTGTTAACTCAGACTTAAATTGAAGAAAGTAGGGAAAACCACTTGACCATTCAGGTATGATCTAGATCAAATCCCTTATGATTATACAGTAGAAGTGGGAAATAGATTTAAGGGACTAGATCTGATAGACAGAGTGCCTGATGAACTATGGATGGAGGTTCATGACATTGTACAGGAGGCAGGGATCAAGACCATCCCCATGGAAAAGAAATGCAAAAAAAGCAAAATGGCTGCCTGAGGAGGCCTTACAAATAGCTTTGAAAAGAAGAGAAGCGAAAACCAAAGGAGAAAAGGAAAGATTTGGATGCAGAGTTCCAAAGAATAGCAAGGAGAGATAAGAAAGCCTTCCTCAGTGATCAGTGCAAAGAAATAGAAGAAAACAATAGTATGGGAAAGAATAGAGATCTGAGATACCAAGGGAACATTTCATGCAAAGATGGGCTCAATAAAGGACAGAAATGGTATGGACCTAACAGAAGCAGAAGATATTAAGAGGTGGCAAGAATACACAGAACTATACAAAAATGATCTTCACGACTCAGATAATCATGATGGTGTGATCACTCCCCTAGAGCCAAACATCCTGGAATGCGAAGTCAAGTGGGCCTTTGGAAGCATCACTACGAACAAAGCTAGTGGAGGTGATGGAATTCTAGTTGAGGGATTTCAAATCCTAAAAGATGATGCTGTGAAAGTGCTGCACTCCATATGCCAGCAAATTTGGAAAACAGCAGTGGCCACAGGACTGGAAATGGTCAGTTTTCATTCCAATCCCAAAGAAAGGCAATGCCAAAGAATGCTCAAACTACCACACAATTGCACTCATCTCACACACTAGTAAAGTAATGCTCAAAATTCTCCAAGCCAGGTGTCAGCAATACATGAACCATGAACTTCGAGATATTCAAGCTGGTTTTAGAAAAGACAGAGGAACCAGAGATCAAATGCAGAGACATTACTTTGCCAACAAAGGTCCATCTAGTCAAAGCTATGGTGTTTCCAGTAGTCATGTATGGACGTGAGAGTTGGATTATAAAGAAAGCTGAGTGCCAAAGCATTGATGCTTTTGAACTGTGGTGTTGGAGAAGACTCTTGCGAGTCTCTTGGACTGCAGAGAGATCCAACTAGTCCATCCTAAAGGAGATGAGCCCTGAGTGGTCATTAGAAAGACTGATGTTGAAGCTGAAATTCCAATACTTGGGCCACCTGATGCAAAGAGCTGACTCGTTTGAAAAGAACCTGATTCTGGGAAAGATAGAAGGCGGGAGAAGGGGCCGGTAGAGAATGAGATGTTGGATGGCATCACCAACTCAACGGACACAAGTTTGAGTAAACTCCAGGAGATGGTGATGGACAGGGAGGCCTGGCATGCTGCGATTCATGGGGTCGCAAAGAGTCGGACACAACTGAGTGAGTGAACTGAACTGAATAATTTGTTACTGTTCTTTTAAGATAACTGTCTTCTGACTGCTGTGTGGAGAAAAGACTGTGCAGACGAGGGTAAAAGCAGGGAGCACAGGGAGCAAGGTAGGTGGGAGGCAGGCCAGGCTGGAGGGGCTGCTGTGCTGGGATTCAGGGACGCAGGCCTGCAGTTCCCACGGTTTCTGTTGCCCTGAAGGAGTGACCTGAGGACACTGCAGAAACTGCTGTACAGTGAGTGAAAGGGGAGGAAATAAATTCTTTAAGGTCAAAATGAAATTAAATTTTGTCCAAATGCTTAACGCTAATTTGTTCTGAAGTTATTAAAGTGGTACATGTTGACCTTTTTGCTTCAATCTAAGCCAATTCAGGAGGAATGGAAAAGTTACCAAATAGCCATTCACAATGACACAGATAAAAATGTGAATGTGATGGCCTTATTTTCCTATTTACTTGTGTCATTATAAAAGTTTATTAGTTTAATTTTTGGAGGTTGTGGCATATTTATGTTGAAATCTTTTAGTTTTTCAGTTTAAACTCTTTTAGGAATTGAACAACACCTAGTGTTTGTATTTCAGTTAATTTCACTCCTCAAATCTAAATTAAATTCAGATAATCTCAAATAAGGGCTTTCCTGGTGCTTCAGACTGTAAAGTCTGCCTGCAATGAGGGAGACCCAGGTTCAATCCCTGGGTGGGGAAGATCCCCTGGAGAAGGAAATGGCAACACACTCCTGTACTCTTGCCTGGAGAATCCCATGGACAGAGGAAGGAGCCTGGCAGGCTACTGTCAATGAGGTCGCACAGAGCCAGATATGACTAAGCAACTTCACTTTCACTTTCAATCTCAAATAAGTTGGTGAAATCTTTGCTAAATTGCCAAATGAACTTTACTGAAGCAAAACATCGAAAATATTTGCTTTTTGCTAAGAAGTCTGATGCTTGAACTTCATGGCTATGAATGTTAAACTTTCTAAACAGAGGTAAGTATCTGTGTTAGTGTTTAAAGATGCCTTATAGGAGTTTTTGATTCTTTGTGTTATTTCTGATGACCCAAGGACTCCTCCAGCTGTTAGGTTTGCCCATACCTGGGTGCTAGGAAGTGAAACAGAAGTCTGAGCTCTGGAGCTAGAGTTTATGTAAAAGCATCTGTGTCTCTTTGGTCTGTGGAAGGTGCCTCTATTGAGTGACAGTGATTTAGGCCTCCCGAAGCCTTGGACCCTAGGGTCTCCCTGTGAGGTAGGAGGCGGGAAGGGCAGGATACTGGTTACTGCCTCTGAGAAGAGATGTGAATTTGGGAGGGTTGAGAGAAGCCGGAAACCCCTCCGCTTTCTCTTAAGGGTGCCTATCCTTTTCCTGTGTTTCAGAATCTTGGTCTGTTGAGCAAGTTTAGGTCTGTTGCTTGCCAAGCTGCTGTTCTTGCTAAGTTTTCTTTCCAATTAATGGAAAGGCATGTATTTCAGTGGTACTGTGAAGAATGATCCAATATAGCCTTAAATTCCACAGTCTAGATTCATCTAAGTTAAAACATTTATAGGGAGAAATTTCCTAGACATCCCTCACTACCTTCATCTGGCTGTTGTTTATCTTCACACAGTGTTTTTTCCTCGTAACACTGCACAGTACCTATCTTGCATTCTGTATTTGTTTATTATCTGTCTCCTTCATGAGCAGGAAAACTCCACAAGGGCGGGTGTGCGGTGTTGCTTACTGCTGTAACTCTAGAGAGGGAAACCGTGCCTAGCCACATAGTAGATGCTGATTTTAGCTTTCTAGGGCTGCCGTGACAAATTATCACAAACAGAGTGACTTGAAGCAACAGAAATTTATTCTCTCACAGTTTAGGGGGTCAGATGTCCAAAATCAAAATGTCAGCAGGGTTGGCTCCATCCTGAGACTCAGAGAAAGAAAGCCTTCCACGTCTCTCTCTTGGCTTCCGGCTTGGGGCGTCAGCCCTCGGCGTTTCCTGGTTTGTACATACGTCAGTGTGTTGCCCCCATTTCCACGTGGCCTTCTTGTCTGGGTGTGTCCTTTTCTGACTCTTTAGAACACTCTCTGTAGTTAGGGCCCACACTACAGTCCCATTTTACCCAATTACACTGGCAAAGACCCTATTTCCAAATAAGGAAAGTTATATATTTAGTTCCAGGTGGACATTAATTCTGTGGGGAGTTGGGGCGGGGGGACACTATTCAACTCACTGCAGTGCTCAGTAGACATTTGATGGATGAATGAGTGAATTCACAGTGTAATTCTGGGCTTTAAACTTTTGGGGCATTTTTCATTACTGTCTTTAATAATTGCACTGCAGGAGGTAGGGGTTAAGAGGTCAGTCTAGTTCCAGATTGCTTGGGCTCCACTTCTGGTTCTGTCCTTCTCTAGTTGTGAGGTCTGGGGCAATTACTTAACTTCTCTCAGACTTCATCTACTCCTCATCTGTAAAACAGAAGCAGGAGAAATAGTAGTGTCCAGTAAGTGTTAGCTATTCTGCGTCTACACTAGTTTAACTTTTTTTATTGACTATCATTGCTTTACAGTGTTGCATTAGTCTCTGCTGTACAGTTAAATGAATCGGCCACATGTGTACACACATCCTCTTCTCAGACCTCTCTCCCCCGTCCCGCTCCATCCCTCCCATCCAGGTCATCACAGAGCACCAGGCTGTCCTCTGTGCTCTACAGCAGGTTCCCATTAGCTATGTCTGCAACTGCTCTAAAGCACTTCTTAGGTTTGTTCAGCCCCCATGACAATTTATGCAGTGGGGCCATTCTCATTTTACAACAGAGAAAATAGGCTTGCTTCAAGAATTCAAAACTGAAAAACTACACATATCACTTTGTGAAGTGTCTGGCATACAGTGCTTAGAAATTCTTAGCTATGATAATAGAGAAATGTGACTTAATGTCGTGAGTTCTCTTACAGATTGATTCATAAATCAGAAAAACGAATTGTAAACTGGGACATTTCAGTTTTTGCTCATGTAGTGATTGTCATTGAGGGGGTATCCTCGGGAAGGGGTTTCCCCAGGGGCTCAGCAGTAAAGAATCTGCCTGCTATGCAGGAATTCAGGTTCGATTCCTGGGTCAGGAAGATCCCCCTGGAGAAGGAAATGTCACCTCCAGTATTCTTGCCTGGAAGACGACAGTCCATTGGGTTACAGAGACACAGCTGAGTGAGAATGAAGGAGCATTCTCAGGAAAACTAGACAGGTTGTGGGCAGTCAAACGGCAGCCCTGGGGGTGGGGGAGACTAGTGCGAGGTGTGTGAGGGTGCTAGAAACAAAAGTCCCTTGAAACTTTTTATGGGCCAGTTCTTACTACCTTCTTCCCAGGGACTACTCTATAGAGTAAGGGATTAATACCCCAGAAATAGTATATACAGCAAACAATGTCTACATGGGTTACTTTTATCATATACAGAACGTTTCATCGTGCTGGAATATATTACTCCAGATATGGATGTGTTGTTTTTGCCTCTTAAGTAAACTCTCCCTGCAATAGGTAAATGTCCAATTTGCCTGTTTCTTGCTGTGTTCTTCATATTTTTTTTTTAATTTAAAAGGCTTTGTATCTTTAGATCTCAGCTTAAACTCCCTAAAATAGATTCTTAGCTTACTTGGAAGTATTTTTCCATAGTTTATTTACATTTGTGTATGTTCGTTTAATGTATTTATTATTTCAGAAAGTTCTCTGAGGACAGGAACTCTATTTTGTTCATCTGGCAGCTAACAAATCTTAAATGAGTGTTAGTTGAATGAATAGGTAAATTGGTAAGTCTTGGGACAACATATCTATTTTAGCTGCTGCTTTTCTGTTTTCATCCTGGAGTACTGGCTGCTTCTCTGAGATGTCTCTTTCCTATTCTCAAATGGCCTTCATTTGTAGTACTAAGCACTGAAATTGGTCTGTAATATGCAATGTGACCCACGTTTGATCTGTAAAGTCACCCTTTCCAGAGGTATACTCACTACTTTTAAGTTAATTTACCTATAAATCCCATTAAGCTTTCTTTAAGCCATCCAAATAGATATATGTTTGGAATATTAGACAATAAAAATTTCAAAAGGCCGTAAATATTTCTTTATGTAAAACGAAAAGTATTATAAGAAACTAGGTGATGGTTTTCACTCAAGTTGAAAAGCAAACATGGCAAATTTTTAAAAAGGAATAATTCATAGGTCATTGAATATTATTGTAAGCTCTCTGCAAAGTCAAGTTGGTTCATGTTGGTTCATAACATAACCTATGTTATGAGGTTTCTAACATTTGTTGTGATTCCTTATATCAAAGAAGTTTGTTACAAAGCATATAAAAATAGCTGTTTGCCTTCATGCAAATAATACCTCAGATATTTACTCTGAAGCCACTGGTACCTAGAATTAGTTGGGGTTTCTTGCTAAAAGGAAACTTAGAAAATGCTGTTTTACACTATCAGTGCAGTCAGCTTTAGTTCTCTGAAAGATGGTCCTATATAGTAGTGGCTAGTTCAGATTCCCTGATGTAGCTACTTGAATGTCACAGTTTCTGTAGCACCTCCACCAGAGGGCAGAAAGTGGAAGCGAAAAGGGGTGAATAAACAATCCATCCTTGGCTTCAGAATGCCTGTAGAAACATTGAAGATTGAATCCAGCCCTCATTTTATAGACGGAGATGACTGGCAATGAAAGACAAGGGGGTTTGCTCATGGACAAATTGTTTAGGCTCTTGATTTCAGGCTGGTGTTCCTGTGGTAATGATGACGTGTGATGAGACAATATTTTAGAACATAGGCCTGAAAATACACCACCTTTGCAGAACTGCAGCTCTGTACTTGCTAACTGTGTAAACTTAAAATTAGGCTAGTTACTTTGATTCTATCCCTATTTTAACTATTGTATGATGCACTTATGACATTTTCTACTTTCTCATTTCACTTTGGAAGCAAAATACTGATTCCCCCACCCCCAATTTTACAAGTTATCCCCCTCTCCAGCTGTAATATTGAGGGAACAGGTGCCTGGTACTTACTTTTATTGCCTGTTCATAGCTGCATCCAGAATACCAGAGATGCATTTATTCAATAACCTCCTGAGTGATTTGTGAAATTTTCATTAGATCTTGACCAAGGTTGGATAAAAAAAAAAATTCTCAGAAAAACTCAATGTAGTGCTTTTCTGCCAAACCCAGGGCGACCCTTGGGCTTCAGGTGGTTGTCTTTATCGTTGTAAATACCTGCGGTGCTCTACTGGAAGCGGCCTGAGGCGGGGCGGCTGCTGCCGAGTGGCAGAAAGGCACAGGGTTGCTGGCCTCTAGGGTTCAGCCTGTGGAAGCCCTGGGCATCAAATTGCCACCAAGTGTTTGGAAGCTGACTCTGCTTTACTCCCGGGTCGCTGCAGCCTTAGCAAAGTCTCAGGCAGTCTTGCAAAAGCAGTTTCTTCCCTAAACATAGAATCTTGATTCCATTTGCCTAAAGCAAACAGTGCTTACCCTAGAAAACGTACGTTTTTGTTGAGATAACAAACTTGGCCCTTAATTGCCAGTGGCTGCAGTTATTTTGATTTTTACTTGGCTATGCTCCGGCCAAGAGAGTGGTCTAGGATGTGAAGAGATCTGGGAGAGATGAGAAGCAACTCCTTTGCTTTCAGTTACTGTCTCCCCCAGCCCAGACGCTCAGGTCTCGCCCTCTCCTCCTTGCTGCCGCCACGGGTCGTTAGTGTGGGGGAGGGTTTGGGTGGGGGACCAGCAGTCCACTTGGCTTCCCACCCCCCAGCCCCTGAAGAAAAACTTATTTGAGTAACAGCCTAGAAGAGGTGGGGTTGCGGAGGATCTGTCATCAAGGGTTTTTATGGGTGGGGCCTAGGGACACGAGGGAAGAGAGGGAGTGGTCCGCGGGTAGGGTCTGAGGAGCAGACAAAATGTGGGGCCCCCGTCCCTTCAAGTGCAACTTGTCTCTTCCTGAGCGAGGAGCAAGGCATTCGCAGTGCCTCTCCCAGGGGCACGCCGAGGAGAGAAAATCGACCAAGAGTGGACGGAGGAGAAAGCGAGACATGCTCTCCAGGAAACAGTCCCCTGCCCTGGCTCCGGAAGAGCGCTACCGCCCAGCCCTGGCCCCTGAGCGGGTAAGATCCTGCCTCCAGACAGGTCGGATGACCTCTCAGTCCGGATGGATCCAGGGTCAATCCTTCCTGTCCCGCCCCTCCTCCCCTTGGGTGCCACCGTCCCCCACCGTCGGTGAGCTTGGGCTGTCCCAGCCCCACGCTATAATCAGTCCTTGGGCGCAGGGTCCTGGATAGGGTTTCCTTTAGCCCTCGAGCCAGGCCGGTCCAGAGACCACGCTCTCCTTGCCAGGGGCGTCGTCAGGTCCCAGGTACGCACCCCCACCCCCACCCCCACTGCCCCTCTTCAGCACGGAGTCCTCCACGCATCAGGTGGACTCGGCGGCGTCCGGGCTCCTGAGGAGGATGCTGAAGGAGCCGTTGGAAACAGCCTCCTGGGGGGCCAAGGCTTCTTTTATGCGCAGCTGGAAGGAGCGCGCAGCATCGCCTGTCCCAGACGGAAGCCTCTTCTCTCAACTGCGCGCGCCTGAGTCTCCGTCCCTCCGCGCTCCCGGATTCACGCTCAGTTCCCCTGCCACCAGCGGTGCCGGCGATCATTGGGCCATCTGAGCGTGGGCATCTTAGCACTGGTCCCACTTGCAGGGTGCTGGCAACTGCTGCGTCCCCCTGTGCGCAAACTTGGCGGCGAGTACCGGCCTGGGTGCAGGGAGCGCGGGGCCGCTAGGGGACACAGCTTCGAGCTTCTCCGGGTCCGGCGGGGCTCTGCTCCTGTCCTGGAAAGGGACGGCGTTGCCCCTGATTTGGGAGAAGAAAGGTAGGGAAGAGGAACATGGCAGGTCCTCACTAGCCTGATCCCCCAGGAACTGGGTCTCTTTCGCGCCGCTCTTCTTGTTCGATGTCAGGAGGGCCCCGGAGTCCACTCGCTGCTGCGGGGTCCCGGCAGCGCGGAGCCGCGTACCAGTGACTGTCCTCTGGGCGGGGATGGAGGGCTGCGCGGCTTAGGTGTGTTGGGTCGGATCCTGCCAGGACTCGTTCCCAGCTCTTGCGGCGAACTGTGCACTCCGGACGCCAGCCTCTCCCGGCCGGTGGATGGCGATGTAGGCGCTTTTTGCACAACTCGGTATTCCAGGACCGAGTCCTGCGCGCTCAGAGCTAGGAGCTCATTGGGGAAGCCGCCCGGCGGCATTCCCAGGGAAGCTGTCCTGTCACTTCAAAGTGGAGCTTTCCTCCCGCGGGAAACTTCTGAGAACAATGTACTACAGAGACAAACTCACTCTTGAATAAGACCAGACAACTTCTCTGTGCGCATTTGTAGTTTGTAGTCTCCCCCGACCCCTCCGAGGTAAAGTAATTCACTGATGGAAGCAAAACTCTGCAAAGGAATGCCGACTGCCACCAGAAAGGGAGTTAAGTCAGGACTTAGTGGCAGTCATTTCCCAAAGACACATACATTTTAGCTGAAGGTGTTAGAAATTAAAGATGTTGCAACACATTACTTTTGGGAATGAGTGTGGTTTAGTCACTAAGTCATGTCTGACTCTTGCGACCCCATGTAACCCTATGGACTGTAGCCCGCCAGGCTCCACTGTCCATGAAGTTCTCCAGGCAAGAATACTGGAGTGGTTGCCATTTCCTTCTCCAGGGGATCTTCCCCACCCAGAAATCAAACCAAGGTCTCCTGCATTGCAGGCAAATGATTTACTAACAGAGCTATGAGGGAAGCCCCACTTTTGGGACTAGCCCAGAGAAAATGAGAGGAAACAATGGGTTTTTAAAAAGCTATAGAATCAGTTTTTGTCACAACAGAACAATCACCAGCTAGGTTGTACTATTTGGTGTTAATAGTTTTGTTGTGTAAAGTTAGACTAGAAATCAGTCCCCACAGCCAGGTTCCTGGAGCTTGAGAGGTTAGACTATCTGTCTGGGTAGGCAAATGTGGTTACTGGGCTAAGCTAGTTTTCCATGGAATTCTCCCCAGGACACACCGAGAGCTGCACCAGGATGAACTGTTTTCAGATATTTGGGTGTGGAATCACATAAGTCTTACAACCTCAAAATGCTGTAAAGCTTTATTTAGGGGGAAGGGGCTCTTCCCAAAGGGTTCCTTGCAGGATCGGAGCACAGGAGAGGGATGAAAGGCTCAGTTAAACTTCCAGGGGGTTAGACAAATAAGAATTGCTTTATTAATCTCATCAAGTATATTTCCAGGCATAATGAAACTTTTTTAAGGGATGCACAATTAGTTCCATTAGAAACCTTCTTCATAATACTGCAGAAATCTTATTAATAGCACAGCAGGCCTCCACACCTCCACCACAAACCACCTGTGGTTTTGTCTTGGGAGGGCCACTTTTCCCACCATAGCTTCACCTGATTTCCACACTTGCGGGATCTAATGACCCACACTTGCCCTTTTCCACTGCTGGAGACAAACAGGAGATTGCGGGGGAAGCTGAGCAGCCCAGGTTTAGAATTGTCACTCTTGATTTGAAACCAGTTATTTTCAAACCTACGTACCATTTCTTAGGAGGCCCGTCGCTCGGTTTTCCTCACTCCCTTACCTCCAGCCTCCCCTGCTGTGAAGACCTGTAGTCCCTGGGTTTCTAAGTGTCACTGTGGCCAGGGAAATGGGGGCTCCCCGAGGACCAGGAAAGCTGGGTGATAGAAATAGTGCTAAATGTGTCCCAGGAAGAAGGTTTATTTAATCTGCCAATTTGGTCTTAATAAGTTAGTCAACAGGTACTCATTCTTGCCTCCTGTTCTTCCTGATTAAGTGGAAAATGGGGCTGGTTGCCTAGAGGATACTGATTTGTACGGAATACTAGATCCACACTAAACACTCAAGTAATTCTCAGACCTGTACCTGTTCTGCAAAATCTACTCAGACACGCATATATGCACTCATCCATGCATACCCACTTTTGTGTTTTAGACTCTTCAGAGAGGGTGGAAGTGGAAGACATCACAAGAGTGAAAGGTGCTGTAAATGGAGTGCCTTGATGACTAGAGTATGGATTTTAGTGTCAAAGCCATATTCAGATCTCTGGCCCTAGCCTTTAAAAGCTGCAAGGTCCTGGGCAAGTCAGAGAATCTTGCTGAACCCTGATTTCCTCATCCAGCTGATGGGGATGATCACTGACTATCTACAAGAGCATGTGAAGATTAAGGAAATAAATATGTCCTGTAGCCAACCCACCAGGCTTCTTTGTCCATGGGATTTTCCAAGCAAGAACTCTGGAGTAGTCTGCCGTTTCCTTCTTCAGGGGATCTTCCTGACCCAGGGATCAAACCTGTGTCTCCTGCATTGCAGGCAGACTCCACCATCTGAGCCACCAGGGAAGCCCACATATGTCCTAGAAATACTCTGCATACAGCTGTACCTTCTGTGAAGCCTCCTTCCCCTGTTTTTACTTGTGGGTCTGGTCACATCGCAGATTTCTGAGGCTCTCAGGTTTGTCTCCACAGCCAGCCTTCTGTGATTCCAGAGCAGTGCCCTCCAATAGAATAGCTGCTGGCCACATGTGGTTATTTAATTATTCTGGTCATTTAAATGAATCAAAATAAAATTAAAAATTTAGTTTTTCAGTCTTACTGGCCACATTTCAAGTGCTCAGTAATCACATGTGCCCAGTGGTTATAGACAGTGTAGACAGAACATCTCATTCACTGAGGAGTGTCCTCTTGGTTCCAGAGCTCTCTGCTTGAGTGATAATTTAATGAGACTCTTGGATGATGAAGGTTTTTCTGTCCAGCTCTTCCCTTTGCTTCTTTTCCTCTTGTTTTGTATGGCTGAATCCCTTCTGTTGTGTCACAGCCAGAGCATTTGTTGAACGGTAGATGGCTGTTTATAATTGGCATAATTTATATAATTATAGAATAAATGATACATAGTACTTATTATAAATCAGTCAAGTGTGTGTATTAGTCACAAAATCCTTAGAAAGTCTCCCATCACTGATGATTTTTGCTAATGCATCCTTTTCCTTTCACAGTGAGATTTATGGCTGATGGTTTTCCTGGTTTTAGAGCAGAAATTCTGATATAATAGAGGGAGGCTCTTCTCACTCTTATGTACCCACTGTTCAGTTGCTAAGTCATGTCTGACTCTTTGCAACCCCATGGACTTAGGCACTCCAGGCTCCTCCATCCATAGGGTTCTCCAAGCAAGAACACTGGAGTGGGTTGCCATTTCCCTCTTCATATGTACCCGTATGTACCCGTATGTACGATTTTCCATAAGAATAACAGTATTGATCTATTTTCACTTATAGTGGGGTTATGTCCCAATAACCCTTCATTTTGTTGTTTTTTAGTCACTTAGTCGTGTCTGACTCTTTGACGCCCCATGGACTGCAGCACGCCAGCCTTCTCTGTCCTTCACCATCTCTCAGAGTTTGCCCAAACTCATATCCATTGAGTTGGTGATGCCATCCAACCATCTCATCCTCTGTGGCCCCCTTCTCCTCCTGCCCTCAATCTTTCCCAGCATCGGGGTCTTTTTCAATGAGTCAGATTGTCACATCAGGTGGCCAAAGTATTGGAGCTTCAGCTTCAGCATCAGTCCTTCCAATGAATATTCAGGGCTGATTTCCTTTAGGACTGACTAGTTTGATCTCCTTGCTGTCCAACGGACTCTCAAGAGTCTTCTCCAGCATCACAGTTCAGAAGCATCAGTTCTGGTAGACATAATTTTTTGAGGGACTTTATTCAAGCCAGTACAGATGAGTAAACAGGTAATCCTTTCCCTGCCTTAAGTTAATTCTGTTCCTAGGACTTTGCTAAATCTGCTTTAGTGCATAGTCCATAATATTTATTATTCTTATAGGCACCCACCATGCAGGTTGGGAGATTATGTGTGCTTTCCATATGGGTATAGAGTACATGGGCTGGCTCGCTAAGTCAGCTGCCCTTTCCTGAGCCTGTCACTGTCCCCAGCCCAGTCTCTTGTCTCTACTTCTTTCTCTTTGCTCAGAAAGAGCTGCTGTTGTCCTGGAGCACTGGCGTATCTGGCGGCCGCATCCCTGAGGGTTCTGTAGCCGTGTTTGCTCAGCTCTGAGCTCTGC